GTCATAGAGTATTTCTCTTTCTCACCTGAGTTATTACATTTAATATAATGTCTTGCAGATCATCGGTATTTTGCAGATAACAGGATTTTTTCTTTTTAAATTGTATAATATTTCACTGTGTTTACGTATTGCATTTTACTTAATGGGCCTTTGTTAATTCATGTTTCTTGGCTCTTAATCATTGCCCTCTAAAAGATGATAGAGTTGGCCTACATAATCTAGATTTCTTTAAAACTCTAAGAATTTCATACCAGATTAATGTTTCCCTATTCCTTCCAGCATACCTGAGATTAATTCTCCCTCAGAAAACAAATGAGAATGTTGTTCCTCACATGCTGCATTTCCCACAACTCTGTTTAAATCTCCACTCTCCCCTTCATGTCCCTGCCTTTACTACTTCAGCTCCATCCAGAAACAACTGGCATACCTCTTTTGATTTTATAGTCACATCCTGTGCTGGAAATCTTGTTAATATGGGAACTTTGGGGAAAGAAAAGGAACAAGTCAAGAGTAGAAATAGGGACTAAGGTGACCTCTCCACTCCTCCTGGACATGGGATTAATCTCCAAGAGGACTGAGGGATAGTGAAGGCCAGATCTCAGTTTGGATGGGACATATTTCAAGATATCTATTCAATTCTGGTTTCAGAGATTGTGTGCACTTCTGCAATGGAAGAGGCCAGGAAATCAGAAAGCACCCTCTGGCTTGGGCAGTCACCCTTTCTCCTTTTCTTCCAGGTGAATCAGCTTGTGAGTGCCAGGGCCATGGGAAGACTGAAGGTGATCAATGTGAAGGGTCTCTGTCATTTCATCTCAGCCACACGGTCATGTTCCGCAGACTGATGTAGACAAATCTTGCCCTTGGCTCTGGAGGACCTACACAGGCTGGGTAAGGAAAGAAAGACAAGATGGGTTGAAAAGAATGACACGACACAAACAGGATCAGCAAGCAAGAACCTCAAGTGAGTTCCCTGTGCTAGCAGAACCACTTGGCTTCTTTGCTGGCCACAGGACAACTGGGTTAGGGGACAGGAAGTGGTACCTCTAGTCTGCCCCTGCTCACCAACTCTTCAATCACTTTATCCTTGTCCGTCACCATTTCTTCATGCTTTACAAGGGTTTAAGTGACTGTGGGGTGGCAGAAACAACTGTAGGAGATGGAGAGATGGTAACTAGCTCCTCCTACCCTCCCCCCCCAGTATCACCCCCAACTCCATAGTTCACAGGTTGGTGATCGAAGTCAGGTTGTAGGCTGATGAGCGAATGAATAAACAAGAGGGCTGCAAGAGCAAGGGTGTGGTCAGAATGAGAGTCATAGGCATGGCACAACCTCTTATCGGTCACAACTGAACAAAGTGCTATTTGGAAGAAACACCATAGAGAACCTGCTGTTCCAGGCAATAGCCTCCAAGCTGCTAGCTGTTGTGCAACGAAGAGGAGTCCTTCGATGTAGTAGAAGGGTCAAAGTTGTGGGAGGTTGTTTGTGGTGCTTGAGGAAGTGGTCAGCATACAAAGAGTTCATTATCCTCACTACTAACTCTGAATTGGAAGCAACCATCTGATATGAGCTCTGAGGTGTTAGAGCCTGGTGATATGGACAAGGGGGCAGTGGTGGCAGAGAGCAGCTACTGTGGCTAGGGAAACTAGGAAAGGTCTGTCAGAGAAAGTAACATGCAAGCTAATCCCTGATTGGCAGGAAGGAAATGTTAGGGACAGTCAGCCAGTGAGCGAGGGCAAGGGGAGAGCATTGCAGCCGACACCCCGCAAAGGTAAGGAAGAACACCAGCTTGACACACGTGATGAGCAGTGCACAGCTGAGGTGCCTGACACACAGTGTGGAGGGCCTGGGGGGGGAGTTAGATCAGGTGGTTAAGCACAGGCCACGGCTTGTGAGGCTTCGTAGGATGTGACAGGAAAGTAAAAACCAGAAGCAGTGGGAGGGACAGTTTGAAGTGGGGAACTATCGTAATCTGATTTCCATTTCTGAAATGTAAATGTGCCATGGTGAGGATCAGTTGGGGGATTAGAGAGAGAACAGTGGCTGGGTTGTTCTAGCCTGGAGTCGGTGACTGGAACACGGGGGCAGATTGGAGTTGTGGTGGTTTTCAAGATACCTGTGACAACTTGTGTGTGCGCCCCCTCAGGAGGTGGAGCTTAATTATTTCTGCCCGTGAGTGTGGACTGGAGCTTAGGATGTCACTTTCAACCTTAGGTTTTTAACAGATAGGTGGGGGCTTCTGATGGGGGATCAGGATGGCTTGCTCTTTCATTCTGGAAGATAGATAGCTCACTGTAAGAGAGAATGGCTGTCTTGTCCTGCCATAGTTCTGGAGACAAGCCTATAAGGCAAGGGATTCACCTCTGTAGGAACCACGTGAGTTACCTTGAAGGCTGATTTCATGTCTGTGCTACTACCTCAGCTGAACTTTCTGAAAATTCCACAGCCATGGCTGCCAGTTCTTCTGCCAGCTTGAATGATGTGGCAAAAACTTACTGTGCCTGGATTCCTTATCTGTAGATATTAAGAGATAACAAAGGAACATCACTTTTTAGGTTTGGTGAATCAATGAGTTCACTGGGGTTTCTTAAAGGAACGTGGATGGCTCAAGGGCATTTATATCAATGAAAAGTCCAATCCAGCATAGCTGATTACACATGAAGGCTAAGTACCTGGAGTTCACTGCCCAGTTTGCAGGCAGATCCATAGAAGAGTATCCTCACGTCCAGCAATTGCTTAGTGCTGATATAATATATGGGGGGAAGCCTAGTCAACCTTGTAATTTTTCAAATATAAATATAATACTTGTCTTAATTCTTTGAAAACTTCCTATGTGCATGCAATGTATTTCCCCTACTCCTCCCAGATCCATCTTCATCCCTAATCACTCCCAACTTCAAGTCCTCTTTTTCCTTTTCTTTCTAATCAAGTCCAGTTTGTGCTACATGTACTCAAGGAAGTAAGGCCACCAGCTAGAGCCAAGTCTACCTATCAGGGCCACACTCTTAGGGAAATTGACTCTCTTTCTCAAGCAGCCATCAACTGTCAGTAACTCTTTAGCTGGGTGTAGGACTTCATATATACCCTCTCCATGCTGTTGAACTTGAGCACATCTTGTGCTGACAGCCATAGTTTCCAGGAATTTGTAAGTTCAGTGGTCTTTTGGATTCCCAAAGATACTGTTCCCCATTAGCATGCCCTGACTTTGAACTCTCAAAGTCTTTGAGTTCTTGCTTCTGAGATGTGCCTGACCATTGTGGGGAAGTTGTTGATATACATGTCTGTTGCTATACATTGCCCACTAGAACCTGGTGATAAGACCCTACTGGCCATGGGACATCTGTGGCTAAGCATTCCAACTCCATAGACATGTATTCTTTGTATCTTGACCAGCTGACAGTCTCTGTATTAATGAAGTCAACTGCACAATGAAATTTCTCCAATGACGTCTAGGAGCTGCAATAATATCTGGTTACAGAGATTAGAATTTAGACAACAGTTTGATACTATCTCCATTTAGTAAAAGTATGGTAGTAGGCTCACTTCCGGGGCCTGTATCCTCTGCAGTCATGGTCCTTGGCTGGAACAGGCATGCATTTTTCCTATGGAACAGTCCTACAACCCAATCAGAAAACACTTGGTTACTCTGACAACACTTATGCCATGATTGCACCCATGTCCATATCTTGTCAGCTGTTGTTGGGGCTCACGGCATTCACGACTGGGTAAGAGTGCTGAGACTCCTCCCCCTACCCCAGCCTGCATAGCACCTCCTGGTACTGTGAGAGCTGGCTAGCAAGGACACTTCCTTGTCAGAACCAAGTTGATTTCACTATGTCCTGTGAGCAAACTATGTGGTGTCTTCAATAACGGGTCTTCTCCTCAAGTTCTAGTGGGCAACCAAGAGCAATGGCAATTGCTTGTATTTGGGGGAGATCTTTGGAAAGTTCCTGGCTGCCATTATCCTTAGCTATTACGTTAAGTATAACATTTTTTTAATGCAATAGATAATTAATAGAGACTTGTTTGGAACAGGCCAATTTCTGGGCATGTGTACACATTTATGTGTGTGCAAGTACTATATGTTTGCAGGTACACATGCACTTGTGTGGGCATGCATGGTAAGCTCAGAGGAAAATGTGCAGCACATGTACATGTGGAGGCCAGAGCACAAGCTTCAGAATTCAAGTCCACTTCCATCACATTAGTCAGTCCTAGTGATGGAACGCGGGTTGCCAGGCTTGGCAACACTCCCTTTTACATAGTGAGTCATCTCATTGGCCAGCCTCTGTAGCGACGATTTCTTTGTTTGACTCCCTTCACTGGATGTAAGCCCCATAGAGACTTGTCATCCCTCTGAGCGTCTAGAACAGTGCCTGGTACACAGCTGATACTCAGTTTAATATCAGCCAAGTAAGGGAGCTGCCGAATGGCGGAGTCTTGTGTCTGTAAACTCAGAAGTATACGTGGTACTCTGAAATGATGGTGTTGCAAGGCAACCTTTCTGTGGTCCACTTGGTGAGAACAGCATGGATGTTAAGGGTTCTGACCAAAGCCCTCTCTTCTGTGTTGTTAATTGGCTGCTATCATGGTGAAGTTTTGAGGCCCCTCTGAGCCACAAGGATTATCGTTTTGTTTTTGTTTTTTTCTTTTTGGCACAAAGTGAGTGAAAGGCTTACTTACCCTCCTGGCTCATTTTTTTCCCACGGCTCTCTGTTTCCTCCAACTTGCTTAATCCCTTCCAGACCAGTTTAAGCACCTGTTCTGCTTTTCTATCCTTAAAGTTGGGGGATGGGTTGGAGTGCTTGAGGAGAATGAAGCACCTGGGCAGCAGAGTGCAGCTGGAGGACTCTGGCTGACCTAGAGCTGTGGCACTGGGGGGGCGGCTCCAGGCGAGCTCAGGTTGTCCAATCCAGAGCTGTCCAAGCCTCTGGGCTGCAGTCCTCAGGATTGACCAGAGTCCCTGCACTTGTCCACACTCGGTCTGTCTGTGAGTCTCAGGCATGGCCAAGCTGATAGGGCTCACCATCGCAGGGCTGTTGCTGGCACTCTACAAGAACCATCAGTCTTCCTATCAGTAAGTTGCTTTGGGGGATATGGGGTGAAGGCTGAAGCCCCATGGTCCCCACCCCTACCAGATCCAGGAGTACCTCCATACTTTAAAGTAGCTCCAGGTTCTTAACAGGAAAATCTATAGATGTAGCAAACATTTCTGGCTTAGAGAATCTCAATTGGAGGCTCCACTGGGGGGGGGGGAGGTAGACAGGAAGCCTGCTTGCCATCTGGTCCATGTGGAAACAACCTTTCCCTGGTGTGGCCCGCATGTCCGGTGGGTTCGGGGATGGAGGGAGGGGCATGGAAACTCGTCTGGTTTTGCTTTGAGTAAGGTATCTTGGGCAAATTGTTTTGCGTCTCTAACCCTTGAATGCTCCAATAAACTGGACATAGTGACATATACAGAAAATTACCAACAAGGAGCCTGGGACTCAGCAGCTGTTCAGTGCTGTTTGTTCCTGCTTTGCTTGAAAGCATTTAACAAACCACTAGGGTGTTAATGGGCAGGAGGCTGAGAATTACCCGAAGTTTCAGGATAATCTTCCATAAGGGTTCAAAGTCTACACACCATCCTACTCTAAAAGGCTTAGTCAATATTATTGTGTTATTTACTCTGAAGTAAAAAAATTAACCATTGTGGACTATTTGGGATTAAATAGTTATATAATTTTATGGACTACTTAGAATTTTATCCACAGAGTTGGGTTTTGGACATTTTTGTTTCTTAAATCACAGAACATTAGAAAAGTATTTGGGCTTGAAAAACTTGTGTGTGTAGTGTATGTTTGTGTGTGTGTGTGTGTGTGTGGCTGGACCTGCCCGTGTATGGGCCTGGGGATGTCAGAGATTGGTGTTGGAAATCTTCCATCACTCTGGACCTTATTGTTTTGAGGCAGCATCTCTCACTGAAACTAGATCTCCATGGATGCATAGATTGGCTAGTTAAGGAGACCCAGAAATCCCATTTGTCTGCTCTGCATTGTGGAATTACAGGTGTACACTACAGTATCTTGGTTTTTCCATGGGTGCCAGGGATGATAACATAGGTCCTCATACTTTGGTAGCAAGTGTTTTAACTACAGAGCCATCTCTATAGCTTGATTGGGGCTTTTTCCTGCTGTAAAGGTCAGTTAAATTACAGACTTGGGATTGTGTGTAGAGTCTCCTGAAAGATCTCTGGCAGGAGATGGAAGGGAAACAATATCCTCTGACCAGAAGTCCTAAAGTCTTAACACAAAAGGATCCACAGGTCTGAGAGGCACCCAAGACCTCCCTGGATAAGCAAATCTGATCAGTCTTACTTAGCAAATGCCCCCAGCCCAGAAGATTTGTATGCTTGGTAAAGGATACTCAGACCCTGTTTGTTGGAACGGAAACCAGAGAGTCCCAGGGATGGATAAGGACCTATCCCCATTTGGAGACAATGCACTTGAGACTCAGGAAGGCCAGGAATCTGCCCAGGGAAGAGAAAAGAAGTGACTGTGTCATATCAACACATGATGGCAAGCCCTGTCCTCAGAGTACATACAACTTTCCTCAGAGATGGATTATATGCAAGCAGGGGTGTGGTATGGACACGAAGAGTTGGAGGAGTTTACTGGAATCTGTGCAGGACCAGCCTGTGCCTTGGAGAATTTCCTGAACATCTGATATGGGCGAGGCAACGAAGAAGAAACCAAGGTCCTGTTCATCCTTGTAGTCAGATCTTTATGGGCCCAGAACAACACACGACATTTCCTTGAGGTTGTGAGATGTGGAGAACCAAGTAGGCTCCTTCCTATACTTGCCACCATAATGTGTAAGATCTCCGTGTTTCTGTCTTTGGATGGGAATGACCAAGCTAGCATTAATTCCACATGTCTCTGCTACCCCACACTCATACACTTATGCTAGGTAGTGTGTCCTGTAGGCAAACAATACAGATAAGATCTCATTTCTGTAACTTTGAATTTATCCTATCATGTTAATGCCAAGAAAAGTTAGACCTTTTCTCTACCTAAAACTCATGGAAAAATAACACACATCGCACTAGGATACACAAACCAGTCAGATAATAAGATCCCTGACATCACTTATTTTCATAGTTATCATATATGACCATGATATTTGGTGTGTTAGTCAGACATTTTGTGACTGTGGCAAAAAAAAAAACCTGAGAGACACAACTTAAACAAAAAGACTTATTTTGGCTCAAAGTTTTGAAAGTTGAAGACCATGAAGGCTGGTCCATTATAGTGGGCTTGCTATAGGAAGATGTAACTGGAGTTTTCTTCCAGCCAGGTCCCACTGCCGTTTAGCCCCAAATAAACACACAGATATGCTATATATTAATTATTAAACTGTTGGCTGATGGCTAGGACTTCTTATTGGCTAGCTCTGTCTTAATTATTAACCCATTTCTATTAATCTATGTATCTCCATGTGGTCTTGGCCTACCAGGGAATGCCCAAACCTGCTACTCTTTTGGCGGCTACATGGCGTCTCTTCATGTTGCCTCTGTGCCTCTCTCCCCAGCATTCTCCTAGTCTCCTAGCCCCGCCTATCTTCCTGCCTCTACTGGCTATTGGCCAAATAGTGTTTTATTCATCAACCAGTAAGAGAAATATATACAGAAGGCCATCATCCCCCATCAGGAAGGGCATGATGAGGGGAGTGTGTCTTAGTGAGGGTTGCTCTTGCTGTAAATAGACAACATGACCACACCGATTCTTATAAAGGAAAACATTTAATTGAAGTGGCAGCTTACAGTTTCAGAGGTTTAGTCTGTTATCATCATGGCAGAGAGCATGGTGGCAGGCAGGTAGACACGGTGATGGCTGCCACAGGAAAGTGGACTGTGGCACTGAGTGGTATCTGGAGCATAGGAGAACTCACAGCCTGCTCCCACAGTGACACACTTCCTCCAATAAGACCATACCTACTCCAAGAAAGCCACACCTCCTAATAGTGCCATTCCCTATGAGATTATGGGAGCCAATTACATTAAAACTACCACAAGATGGTAAGAGCAGGGAACAGAGAGCTAACTATCACGTGATAACCATTAGCAGAGAGAAGTAATCAGAGTAAAAGGCGTGAGGACAAGATAGATTTTCAAATCCGTAGGTCCAGGGGCCCACTTCCTCAAACTCTGCCCACCTTTCATAGTGTCCATGACCTTCAAAGAGTCCATTCAATTATGGATCCATGAACACATTACTCTATCAATTAGATCAACACCATCATGACCCAGTCACTTCCTAAAGGTCCCATCTGTGAGCAATGCACTGAGACCACACCTCCAGCAAATGAGAGTTTGGGGGATAGTTTATATAATGTTTGAATATTACTATAATTTTGAAACTATGGCTAGGGCTAAATTGCGTTCCAGCCCCGTTGGATGATTAGGGTATCTATCTTCTCTGTCTGACATACTAGACTAGGAGTGCCATAGAACAATTCATTGGTTGAGCTCCCTCCTCTACAAGCTCCATGTTCACATTGGAAGTCATGTTGGAAATAAAGTGGTGTAGCATCACTCATAAATTTAAGTATTAAAGGGAGCAACAAAACCAAAAACCAATTATTAAAATCCACGTCAAGGGACTTGGTAAACATATATGTCATGGTCCATGAAAATGAATGAAGGAGCTACTGATCCCATCACAGAAGACCATAGGAAGCTATGGAAGGCACGAACGAGTCCTGGGTAATGAGGAAAAGGACATTCAAAGTGGAGTAAAAAGTATAGGCTAATGAAAATGGTACAAAGCAGAAGTAGCAAACAGAGTGCTTTGGATCATGACCCTGGATTTCATATCTCTGTTGTACCTTTTCAATTAAAGGCTCATATCATAATGACTTGGTATTTGATGTTTTCACATATAGAACAAGGGAAATGTGTGTGTGTGTGTGTGTGTGTGTGTGTGTGTGTGTGTGTGTTGCGGAGACAGAGACAGAGACAGTGAGAAGACAGAGATTGAACCCAGGAGCTTGAATATGCCAAGCAAGTACTCTACCTCTGAGCTATAGCCCCAGAATGGAAAACATGAATCTCTATTTACAAAACTTCTCGAATGATTAAATGAGGAAGTATGTGTAAATGACCTTAGCATGAGATTTGGCATGTAGTAGCCTTCATAAAGAAACCTAGACAAATGAGGAATGTTTGGTAGCACAAGATGGAAGTACCTGGGTCGCAGAGTGCCAGCATAGCTTAAGGGTCTAATGTGCTTTGGCAGGGAGTCAGTGTCTATTTGTACAGAACAGTTCACAGTAAAGTCTATGTGATTTCTGGATGGACTTCAGAGGCTTTGGAATCAGAGATGTTTCTCAAACAATGAACTTTATTTATAAGATCCAGAACGTTTGCCCTTGACAACTATTTCCTGATCAAGTGAGAACAGACACACTCTGAGAGCTGGATACGGGCTTGCAGGTAGAGGAGTGTGCATCTTGGCCTCTGCAGTGGTGTCATCTGGTCTTTGACAGTGGTGTCACCTGTAAACTGTGCTCAATGAGAGGGCTGAATGCAGATTTGTCTGCACATTTGTCTTTTAACCTTGGCTCAGGCACTTCATAACTACTTAACCATAGCCATACATAACCAGGAAAAAGAACTTCAAGAGAGGGGTTTGGGGGCTAAAAGGGGACACATGCAGGACCTGAAGAGTGACATCAATGATGTCCTGTTGAAACCTGGTGTGTGGGAGGGGGGCTATAAATTGGGAACCTGTCTTCCTGTCTTCTTGCCTACTTTGGGTTCTGGCTCAGCGTGATTTATCTAATGAGAACAGTTGAGCCAATTGGCCTTTCTCTATCCTGTGTAAACCCATCATATTTAGTGGACCTTGTGAGGAGTTACTGCCCTTACTCTTCTTGTGGGCTTCAAAAAACCCACTGGCTCCTTCCACAAGATTTTTTGGGGGGAGGGAGTAAATTTTTATTAATTCATGACATGATGAAAATTAAATTTTATTTACAGAGTTTTATATATTTAACATAAAACCATTTTATTGAAGATATAAGGCTAATCTGTTTGAAACTATAAAAAGAAGAATCTTGGCGAAGTATATTGAATTTTTATCTAGTGTCTCTTTTAAGTCAAGGGTAACAAAAACTTAAAAGTAGAATTTTATTTCTTAAAATGGGCTTAAGAAACTGTAATCTCTCTGGTTCCAATGTTGCTCACAGCCATTGTGAAGTTGCATGGCTCAGATAGGAAACATGGCTTGATGGGGTTGGCCTTGGAGTGCTGCAGTCCTAGGTAAGAGTCAAAGGTCTGTGAGCTACAGTAAGCATCTCAAAAGGCTGACAGTCCACAACCTTCATCAGAGACGCTTTCTCTTGCAATAGATGGGAGCAAACACAGAGACTTAAATAGGGCAATATGCAGTGAGTGAGATTTTGGGATCCTTCCACAAGTTTTAACACATTCAGTGATTCCACAAGCTTGAAATCCCTCTTGGTGATCTACTTTGCCATGCGTTTTGACCTTTGCCCTTAACATCTTGAACCCCTCCTTTATTGAGGTATTCTACAAGTATTTACTGTATGTTCTCTTTAAAAAAAAAAAAACAGTGTTACAATATTAGTTTCATAAATCATGACCAACATTTTCAAATTGAGTAGAACTGAAAAATCAAATAAAAACCAAACAAACACACCATAAGAACTAAGAACATACCACATGGGCCCAGAGCTACAGCTCAGAGGGAAAGCGTTGTCTGTCATGTGCAAATCCCTAACTTCAGTACTTACCAGAGACGAAAAGCACATATGTGTGATGACTTTTTGCGTGCTGTCCTTGGATACGACTTTCTGAAGTTGTAAATACTTTTTAGGACACACCCGCATTTTCATATCTGAAAGGCAAATACCCCATATGAGCTGCAGAGCCTGATAGAATAGAAAATACACATTCTCGAGTTGTATGGAAGGTATCCCCATTTTAATGTAAGCATTTTGAATTGCTTGTTTTGCTAGTATGGTTTTCAAATGTTTAACTGATCTAGAACTTTGAAGCAGCATATGTTTTTGGAGTTTACATGTTTAGAGAAATAACAAGCTCTTCCTGTGAGATGTTCCCAGACATCAGTGGCATTAACTGGAGTCTTGTGCTGCACAACCTAACCTAACTTTCCACAATGGAATCCAAGGACAACTGATGAAATAATTCCTGTGACTGCCAAAGTTCACAGAGCCTGGAGGACACCACATGTCTCTTCATGTATCTGTCCTCCTCTGCACATAACAGTCCCCACTCAACTGTATGTCCTACCCTGGGGTCCCCATTGGTCTTAAAGAATCTCAGCTGCCCAGGAATACTAACTCAGGGAGGATACCCAAGGCAAAAGACAGTTAAGGAGAACTTTGTGGGCTTACTATTGCACCTCAACTCTGCCGTGTGAATTTTATGTTTATTTTATTCTTTTTTCCTTTCCAGAAAAAGATTAACTGCTTTCCGTGAAGTAACTCCTGTAGACCTTCCCAACTGTAATTTTGTTAAAGGAATCGGTATGTATACGGATGAGGAAGTGTCAAATCTTCAGTGCAAGGATATTATTTCACTATCGATTTTGCCAATGCTCCAGTTCAGTTTTATCCAAAATTACAACACTGAATCAGGAGTGTAATATGGAGTCAGGAGCTGCTTACAGATGCCATGGGCTTTGACTTTTGACCTCACAGCTGTATCACCTAGACACTTCAGTTTTTCTTGGGTTTTGTTTGGTTAACAGAACAAAAATTATATCCAGAACAATGGTTTTATGGTAATAAAACCCAGGGAGTTGGCAAAAGGGAGACAGAGGAAGGAGATTAAAGCCTAAACTAAAGAATGATTTTTTAATGAACCCTCTCACAGGCAATTACCACAAGGCTTTTTCATGTGCCCCCTCTTTTGAGTGCTGGCAAGGAGAGTCTTTTCCAGAAGTTCTCAGCAGATTTCCCCTTAGATCTCATTAGGCAGAGCTGGGGGACAGGCTGATGTCTTAGCTGCAAAGGAAGCTGGGAAGATAATTACTGGTGTCCATCCTGGGAGGCAAGACCTGTCAGCAAAGATAAAAAGGTGGAGAAGTAGTAACCCCTGATACCCAACTGAGAGCATCCCAGAGCTCAAGTGTGCATCTTGTTTCCACCAATCAGCTAACATTGCCAGTGGAGGCCAACTCATTTGCAATCCATGCTTTTGCTGTGCTTGGGTAGCGGTTGTTGGCTTTTGCTCTTAGAATTATTTGTCTAATGTGGCTCTAGTCCAGAAAGCAAGTCAAGAAGACTCATTTAGGTAGTATTCTTAAACATGAGCACCACCACACTTTTTCTAGGAAAGCATAATATTGTTGCCAATATTATGGGTATCTGAAAAACATGCATCCATTAAGAGTATGACTACATAAACAAATACTTCATTTGTTTCTGTGTTAACTGAAAATTTAAAAATTGAATGTATTTAAGTGGTAACTCACTTGAAGAGATATTTTATGAGTATTTATACTTAGCAAATACATGCTACTGACTATCAGCAAAATATCCCCACTTAAAAGACAAACATTTGGGGGTTTGCTTGTATTTCTAACATGGTTTTCATATGTTTAATTGATTTGGAACTATGATGCAATACCTGTACTCGGAATTTACAAGTTCTGGAGTTCAGGCTAATAGCAACTCTTTCCAAATAATCATGTTTTATATTTTCTGAGCGATCTTGATTTTGAGATAAAGAGCCATTGATTTGAAGCAAGTAAATGAAGTACAAATTATCATTGTGCTTGCTGATGATATTAATATTTTTAAAAATCCATATAGTCAAGCTAGTCATGGTGGCACATGTCTGTCATCCCATTACGTGTGGCGGTCATCCTCAATTTGCAAAGTGAGTTCAAGGCTACCCTGGGTTACATAAAACTTTGCCAAATAAATAAATATAAAATTCATTTTGTTTTTGCTTTTGTTTTTCCAGACAGTGTTGAACAGCCCTGGCTGCCCTAGAACTCACTTTGCAGACCAGGCTGGCCTTGAACTCACTGAGATCTGTGTGCCTCGGCCTCCCATGTGCTGGGATTAAAGGCATGTGTCACCAATGGCCTGGCTAAAATTCATTCTTTAATGTTCTTATGATCGCATTCTTCAATCCGAGCGGAAGGAAAGGCTCACTCCGAACCTGGCAAACAGTGGCTCAGACAAAGATCGGTTTTCAAGTGAGAGGAGTTAAAGGAAAGGTTTGTCAGCTTCCTAACATGGTTTGAAACAGTCTGTCCTCTGCTTTCCTTCCTGCAGAAACAGGTGCTGAAGACTTAGAGATCCTGCCTAATGGACTGGCGTTCCTTAGCACTGTGAGTGTTGGCTGTCACTTTCCAGGACTGACAATTTTTTTTCTTGGCCCTTCTGTATGCTAGTGTCCACTTTAGAGTGAGATGGGCCCTACTCTCATAGGGCTGGGAGCAGTGCTCTGTTCACATAAGGCTTGGCTGATCGGGATGTGAGGTGTGTAGGGGATACCCATAAAGGAACCTGTGGTTCCCAGAGTATCCTGTCACACTAGTCAGTCTGTTAAGAGGTTGCCCTGTGGTCACCCATGGCCCAGAGCAGCTATTGTGGACACATATGGCAATCATCACCTCTCAGCTCTTGAAGTATCTGTGATATGCCTACTGTTTCTCCACTATTCCTTTAGGGACTGAAATATCCTGGACTGAAAAGTTTTGATGCCAATGAACCTGGAAGAATACTTCTGATGGACTTGAACGAGAAGGACCCAGCAGTGTTGGAGTTAGAAATTAGAGGAACTAATTGGAATAAATCATCATTTAACCCTCATGGAGTCAGCACATTCACAGATGAAGGTAAAAATTAATAGTGAATTTAAAAAGTTTAGAGGATAAAAGTATGCCAAACAATGAATATTTCTTTCTCCTCATCCTATGAAAGGCTAGTCATGAAGAATTTTTACGGTTTTTGACCTTACCTTCTGTTTTAAGGAAGCAATGGTAAAATGATTTCAATGCCTAAAAAATGCTAAATATCTCAGATTTGTGAAGCCACCGATTTCACAGTAGTATGTACATTATGTTTCTAAAATAGTTGTGTATCCAGCTTTAACTGCAATAGGTTTTCCACGTTAAGCAATTGAAAGAGCCCAGCATCCGGGGCCATAGATTTTTGCAGCCCTGAATCTTCGCTTTGGCAAAGTGACACCGAGTTCCTGCACAGCTCTCTCAGCCTGGGTGCTCTGCTCACTAATCAGAAGCTCGTTTTCATTTGGATGCCTTTGCCTGCACTTGCTGTCCACACCCAGGGTGCCTTTAATCATCGTCTTTCCCTGTGTGTTTGGTGCCATTTCCTCTGCAGCGTAACAATTCTTAAATTCAGTTGCACGCAGAAACACCTGAAAATGGAAAACACCCAGTGCACAAGTTTCAGGCCTAAAGAATTGGATCCTTCTGGCTTGACAGTGACTGGGGCAATGGTTAAGATTTGTCCAGGTGACAAAAAATGCTCATTTATATCACCCATTGTCTCCATTCCCTCCTCCCCTCCCTTCCCCCCCTCCCTTCCTTTCTCCCATACTTCCTTCCTCCCACCTATCTATTACCTCCTTTCTCTTTCAAGAGCGTTACGCCATCCGATAGTCCAGCTTTTGTGAGCTGCTTCGGGGCTCCCTGCCTGTGTACCCCAATAAGTCTCTGTAACTCTTTAAGCAGTCCCTCATAGTCTCAGTTCAACATCACTTGACTGCCTCTTTATTTCCCTCATCTAGACATTTCGAACTGGTCACCGTCTGTGCCTAAATTCTAGGAAAATATCCCCAACTATGGGTTACTAATATTATTTTTCCCTTTATGTATTCAGCCCCATGGTTGATGGATCGTCCTAGAAACTTCCATTTAGATTCTTCTCCTATGACCACTTTAAACTTAAAATGTCAAAAATATGATTATATACGTGTGTGTGAGTGTGTGTGTGTGTGAGAGAGAGTGAGTGTGTGTGTGTACATCAATGATCTTTCTATACACTCACCCATCCTTTGTCATTTTAATTGCCTTTTAAAACATTAGAGATGCGAAGAAATACAGTGTTTGGCATGTGTATACTTTTGAAAAATAAAATTGGTGGGACATTACTAACCCCTTTTGTAGCTGAATGTCACTTTCAGCACTACACCGCAGATTTTTTTATGTCTGTGCATCTAGACCCACTTTCAGGGCTCTCGGGGTTCGGTTGCATGGGACTCCTGAGCACTGCCCATTTGCTTGTATGTAAGGAGGTGCTCTCACTTTTTACCTCTTTATAAGTGGTTTCAGGGTGACACTCTTGCACATGGACCACCTACAAGCATTCTTTAGAATCAACTTCTAGAAGTAGAATCTTCTGTATACAAGATTAATTCCCGTTTTAATCCCTAACTTCATCTGGTGTCTGACTTCCTTCTTCAGCTGTCACTGGGGGCTTTTGATATGTCCCATCACATGCCTCTCATGTTCTTTCCTGCCTTTTTTTTTTGTCAGTGTTATTACGTTAACACAAATGCTCCTCTTTCTAAGCAGCGATTCCTACAGTAGTCCCAAGTCCTGTTATTCCTTGTTCATGGTCCCAACTGATTAAACCTAGATCCTACCCTAATCCCCAGCCAGACTGCCCCTGGCCCCTCCCTCTGTGGCCTCATATCCCTCACTTTCTCTTCTCTGGGCTTTAATCACTACTTCACTAGTAAGCAAAAGTATCAGGAGCCTCTTGCCTCAGGGCGCTTGTGGATGCTCTTTCCTCAACTTCGAATATTATTTCTCCAGATATGCACACAGTTCACTCTGACTTCATTTAGGTCTCTACTCTAACACCATCTTGTTGGAAAGAAGGTCCCCAACTCCTATGACGACACTGCAGTGCCCTCTATCTCTTTTTCATGTTACAATATTCTTTTGCAGTATCTAACACCAATTAAAAACACATGCTTGTTGGGTGAGCCAATCAAAAACTATCTGAGCTGGCTTTTCTGTTTGTGTCTGTTAAAGAGTAGATCATTTCCCTTTAAATACCAACTTGGTAATGCCACAGATTTCCAGAGATAGCTCACTGCTTCCCTTTCTTGCCTTCCTCTTCATCCTCCTCCTCTTCTTCTTGAGATGGGTTCTTACTCTGTATGCCTACAAGCAACACTCCTGCCTTCACCTCCCAAACATTAGCTTTAGATGGCGAGCTACCACTCTCTTCTCTTCTCATCTCTTCTTCCTGCAAGTGGCATCATGTCACATTTTTTCTGATCATACCTTCTTTACTCCTTAGAGCACTTCCTTTTATGCCCAAAGTCATCCTCCCCCTCCTCCTCCTCCTCCTCCTCCCTCCCTCCCTCCCTCCCTCCCTCCCTCTCTCTCTCTCTCTCTCTCTCTCTCTCTCTCTCCCTCTCCCTCTCTCTCTGTGACATTCTTCCTGAGACACTAGTCATCTTCCACGGTGTCAATTACATGCGACCTCACCAGCTACTGTGTAAATGGCACACGGTCCAGTCCAGTTCCCACACCCTCAATCCTTTTACCTCAACTTGGTATCTCATGAAGACCACTTGAACCATCAAAGCTTAACAAGCTGTCTGCAGTTTCAGTGCAAGTGATGTTGGTTCTGAAGTTCAGGGCTTTTATTTTTTTTTCCTTCTGTGAAGTTGTAAGTTTTTAGAGGTTGTCACTACTTTTTCCTTTAGCCACTTTTCTTAGGAGCAATCACAAATGCTTTTCTCTACAAGATGAAAATATTCCATCTGCCTGACATCCTAAGTACTAGTTGGAGGTGGGTTGAAATTGCTTTGGGGAGATAGAACTGACAGCTGAGAGCTTCGCTAATGCTTCAATTTTTTGTTTTTCATCCCCTCTCAGATAAGACGGTGTACCTACTGGTAGTCAGCCATCCAAACTACAAGTCCACTGTGGAGGTGTTTAAATTTCAAGAAGAGGAAAGATCACTTTTGCATCTGAAAACCATCACACATGAACTTTTGCCTAGGTACGGAGTGCCTTATGTGGACTGTTCCCTTGATGGCAAGATGGTTCATTCACAGTTAGCTTTTCATCTGGGCCAGGGCAGATTCAACTCTTCTGAATGCTCTTCTTCAGAACTTCCAGAAACTCTGGGACCCTAAGAGTGGGCTCATTCCCTTCTTCCCTCATCTACCCCATTCTGGGTAGACACTATGGTTTAGCTCCTAGCCTCAGGATCTCCAGTCAAGCAATTCTGAGGAATTAAAAAACAAAACTGCTTCTTATAAGACCAATATTTCAGATGGTCCTATGATCTCCAGACAGATATAAGAGAAGATCCCAATCTCAATGCATCTTAGACATCCTTATAGTACATCTACTAGTGGTGTGTTATAAACTACTTATGAAATACTGGGTTCCATGTCAGAATCATGGACAACATAACACATGGGAAAAGTAAGCACCTGATGACATCAATTCTAGTTAACCTTCTCACTTAGCCTATGAAGAACTGGGCCCAATGATAGATTTAAAACAATCCAATATTATCTCCCCGATAATGATAATGTCTATTAATTTTATTATGGTTTTCAAGAAATGTAGTACCTTCTTGTAAAATTTAAGAACAGCATTCATCCACCTTGCTGTGTACATTTAGATCTGGCCTTGTTCCAGGCCCTTAGCAAAATCTTGCCATCTAGCATACACTGTTTTACACTGTGTGTCCCCTCTCCCACCTCACTTGGCAGATGTGAAGATGAGGAAACTGAGAGTTGGAAATGGTTAAATCACTAGATAAAGCTTAGCTAACTAGTTATGGACCAGGTAGGAACCAAGGCCCACCCATGTTTTCTGCATACCTAGGATGCGATCAAATGGAGAGAATAGGTTGGAGGTGGAAGTTTCTATTTATACAAGTGTGTTTTAGGAGGTGGGGAGTAGCTCAGTTGAAAGAGTGTTTGCCCAACATGTACAAAATCCTGGCTTCAATCCCCAGTGCTACAGAAAACAGGCATGGTGGTACATGTCTATCATCCCAGCCACTGGGAGCTAAAGGCCATCCTGAGTACATACAGATCTTGAGGTAGGGTTGAGACACAGGATATTATAGCATTATATATACTACACACACACACACACACACACACACACAGAGAGAGAGAGTTTTAAAGAAAGAATGAGGCCTTCAAGTATCTGAAGAACCAAAAGAAGAGGAAAAGCTGATGGAATTGTGGCAGGAGTAGACCGAAGGGGTCTCAGCTAGAAGTCAATTGTATGCAGACTGCTTTAAACACATGGCTTATTGACTGTTTGGGAACAGCCTCTTAATTTGGTATTATTATTACATTATACGTGGATTTAATTGTTTTTGAGACCTGACCTATCTGTGCAGTACAATGTGCCTCAGAAGACAACCTCAGCCTTTAATATATCTGGGATTAGCTTGAGGCCAGAGCTGGTACTCTGAGTCACAAGAAATCATGAAAATTAATTTTTTTAGTCACTAGTGTTTCCAATTTTGCAGAACAGAGTTTTTATTTTCTTGGTCATATGTGAAAATATTGTGGATTGGCAGCATAGAACCAGACCAGATAGAATCAGAGTGTCACAATTAACTAAAATTTGGCTCTCTCTACCCAAGGATTAGTCATACACATTTGTGGCTTTGTATTTTAGTGTTGTTTATAGTATTAATATTCAAATTACTAGATCCGTTGTAAGTTAACCTGTTAATAACAATAACACGGCTATTATTATTGGCCCTTTATGTGTGCCAGACATGATGGCAAGGCCTTTAAACTCACTGTTTCATCTCATCTTTAGCCAACACGCCAAGCTACAGAAAGAACACTGAGTTTCAGGAACTGTCTCAAAGTTGGGTGACATGCTGTGGCCCCACGTTGTGACCATAGCAGGCAGGCTCAGATTCAAACAGTATACCCAATTTCAAAGCGATTGCTCCAAACTGCTCCCATCTGCTCCTGTTCCATGGAGAACTGCATACTAATTTCTAAAATCTGCTTTAAAAAGAGAAGTAAGAGCAGCTTGTCAGTCTTTGTCTGAAGCCTGCACAGATTCCTTCTAACTCCGTGGACTTTTTTCCACTGCGGTAATAGTGGCTGCGGTTGATGGAAGACTCGGGGAGTCTGGCTGCTGGCAGAGCTGGCAGCACTGTCTCATTGTAATTCCCACTGTGATTCGACCATAGGCTTCTCTAATGAGCCGTGTGACTTTGAGGGGAAAATCGTCTAAGCTCTCTTTACAGATGAGAAACTGAGGCTCTGGGTCCCATCTCACTCGCGCCTGAGCCCTGGCTGCGTCAGAGCTGACGCATTTGCCATTATGCACTCTGCAGTAGAGCGAAGATAATTTGCTCTCAGATCATGGCCCCAGGGAACTTCTGTCACCTCAATCAGCACGGAATGACTCACTTATGTGTTTGCTATTGTACCTATTAGAGCTGAAAAATGGACTCATATATCTTACATTTTCAGCAGCACACAGAGAGAATCCTAATCAGAAAGAGAGAGCCAACCATCCTATTTCGAACAGTCTTGCTTATGGACTCATTCGGCTAAGAGGCATGAAACTTCATGGCAAATGATAGAAGAGACTGTCTTCCTTCCTTCCCTGATAAGGAAGCTGAGGCCCTAACATGTGAAAGGATTGATTCTCCCTTAGATCACACAGCTAATAGGGCTGGAACCACAGGGCTACCAGATCAATGTTTTTACTCCCTGTTACAATGTGCTTGACTTACAGGAGTCAGTGGCATGTGCGTTGTCTTGCCCAGATCATGATCTCTTGCTTAATTCAATGTTTACTGAGCACACACACACACACACACACACACAAACACATACACACACACAGCACTACATTTACTCTAAAGCTAATATTATTTGTATTAATAATCAGATCTTAATATCCTTGGAGATTGCTAGGAGTGATGCCATAGTGATTCTGGCCTATCCTGTTAGTTTGAGGACTCCATCCTGTATTTTGACTTTAAGCCTAGACTTTACTAAGTATCAATGTATAATCATGTAACGTGTGCTATCTTTCTGTGTGTAATCATGTGTATTTTTAATTGCAGTGTCAATGATATTGCTGCTGTTGGACCTGAGAGCTTTTATGCCACGAATGATCACTATTTTGCTGACCCATACTTAGGATCCTGGGAGATGTACCTTGGTCTGTCGTGGTCCAATGTTGTTTACTACAGTGCTGGTAAAGTCCAGGTGCTAGCAGAAGGATTTGATTTCGCTAATGGCATTGGCATTTCCCCTGATGGCAAGTATGTGTGCCTTCTATGACACAATAGATTTATTTGGATTCTCCTTATATAGCTTTAGAACAGTCTTTTCCTATGTAATATGATCATCTTTTGGTTATATTAGTAAAATGAGATGGGAGAAAAATGTGAAAACTACTGATTTAGGGGAGTCTCTAATGAGTGAATATAGTATGTAGTTTGACCTGTATTATGAAAAGGGTCTTGTACCAGAATGTAAAGCAAGATATTCCTTACCAGGAATTTCTACTTTCTTAGTTACTTTTCTATTGCTGTATGAAAGACACATCAACCAAGGAAATTTATAAAAGAAGGCATTTAGTTATGGGCTCACAGTTCCAGGTGGATCTATGACCAGGAGGCAATAGGCAGGCAGGTATGATGCTAGAGAAGGAGCTAAGAGCTGACTTGAGACAAAATCCACAAGGTGTGTGGGGTGTGCTAACTGGGAATGCCACAGGCCTTTGAAACCTCAAAGCCCAACTCCAGTGACACAACTCCTCCAATGCATCTCCTAATCTTTCCCAAACAGTTCAGCCAACTCTTATACAACCATTCAAATATATGAGCCTGTCGGGACCATTCTTGTTCAAGCCACCACACTTACTGTATGGAAGAGTCAATGTAACTATTAGTGATATAGGCTACTACCTCATGTTGGTTTTGCAATAAACAGTTTGCAGATGACTATTGGTCTGGGCACCAGGTTTGGGTAGCATGAATGAACATATAAAATCTGTCCATCATCCATCTATACCCCCATCATCTATGTCACCAAACATTTCAGAGCATCAGTAACACAGCAGTTTTCTGTTGTTCATATTGTCTCAGATCCTCACAGAAGACAATAATTAGCACACACTTCTTTAATTGTTTTAGAATACACTGTGCTTAGCCCCATCAAGAATCATTATGGTGTATGGTGTTACACCTTGCACAAATTACTAAATTTATGTTTGGATCAGCCTCAGAACAGGAAGAGAGAGACTTCTCTGCATTGAAGCCAAACCCTTGTCTTCTCTCATTCTTTCTCGTCCTGAAATGGAAGGCCATTATCAAGAGGGTTTCCCGATGCTCCCCCAAACCCAAACTTACTGCCCTCTGACATGCAGAACCTAGGGTTTGCCACTGGGTTGGCAAATCAAAGGCAACAGTGTGCAATGCAAGTATTAAGAGCAGGTGTTAGCATTTTCTTCCCTGCTGATCAAGGGTGAGTACCTTGCCACCTTAGGTAATGGTTTTCCAGTGATTATATGCTGCATGCCCTGCAGACCCATGGAATTCTTCAGAGTTGAGTTTACTTTGAGATGGATTCGATTTTCTAGTTTGTAAGCAAAGTTCCATCCCAAGATGAGGTATCACACCCCAGCCTTTTGGCATCACTTCAAGCACTTTGACGGAGCCTTTTCTTCTTTGAAGGTATGTCTATGTAGCTGAATTGTTGGCTCACAAGATTCACGTGTATGAAAAGCATGCTAATTGGACTTTAACTCCATTGAAGGTAAGATGTATTAACACTAAAAGTTTGCAGAGTGATAATTAGATTCTAATTGATTTGTGAAATTAAAAGTGAGGAGAAAGGGATTCTCTAATTGGAGTGGGTGAGAAGCAATTTTTCACTTATTTATTAAGAGCCACCATTATCATCATGTGTTGTTGTTCACTTTTGCTCCTTGGCAGAGTGAGAAACAGCAACCCAGGCATCTCACACAGGGAACTCTGAAACTTTCTGTTCCAGAGAATTTTAAGATGGGTTGTTTCCCAGGTTCTTTGCTTATCCCCTTCTACTTCTTTTCTCATTCTCCCCCCTCTGTATATCTCTCTCTGTGTGTATCTCTCTGTGTGTGCCTCTCTCTCTCTCTCTCTCTCTCTCTCTCTCTCTCTCTCTCTCTCTGTGTGTGTGTGTGTGTGTGTGTGTGTGTGTGTGTGTGTGTCTTGGGACAGAGATGCCAAGAAGTAGTTTCCACTTGTATTTGACATTCTACAGCCCTCTACAACAGCCACATACTCACAATGGCTGCATGTGACCTGGCTACTTCCAGTTCTTGCTGACATGGCACTTCAGTAAGACCTTCCCTAATGACCCAAACTACTAACAGCTTCCTGCTCCCCACTGTAGGTCCTGATTTCTTGATGGCTTTATTCGTGCTGTCAGTTTTTACTTCACCACACTACACATCTTGCTACTCTTCCTCACTGTCTGTAGGATCCACCAGGGTAGATTTGTTTTTCTGTTTGTTACTGGAAGAGTTCCTAACATCTAATAAGAATTCAATAAACATTTGTTTAGTCACTGTGGTGGGGCCAGCTGCATATCAGGGCTTCACCTTCTGCCCCTACTAATTCTGGCCTAGGCTAAAAGTTTTGGTCAGAAAGTATAATTGCACAAAGGGAAGGAAGGAAGGCTTATTCAAAAATAACATTATGAAGTGGACCCTGTCCCTGTAGAGCCACAAGACACCACGCTGCCACCATCCATGCCCACAGCATGAAGCACTGTCACTGTCAATTGTATGACGGTTCCTGTCACCATGTCTCAGGGACTGTCACAAGGGGCCTCACTCAGAGAAAATTGCCTCAAAGCAACATCAAATCTAACATCGTGTTTGACATTAAAAATCGTTGGCAGAGCTAGTTTAATATTAGCTGCAGAGAAATAAAATTTCACACACTCCAACTGGCTTAGGGAATAAAAACACACTGTGCTTATAACAGCAGATACTTCTGCAAGGTGAAAGTTATGGAATTTTGTAATAAACCCAATTCAATATACACTCAACCTGGAATGTGAGGACTCTGTTCTTGTAGGGCTGTGGGGTGGTCAAATCTGGCTTCCACCAGAACTGGGCCATCTCTTATTACAAAACCAACCTAGCAGGCCCTCCACCCTGCTGTCCCATCAAATCCAGTGCTACTAATCCTTTAGTGAAGTATGTGAATTGCCATTTGTTCAGTAATGCTTTAGAGTGCTAAGAGATTTGAACAACTTGTTGAGGCTAATTATCAAATCTGTGATGAAGGTGAATGGTAAATGTCCCGCTCCAAATGTGGTGACACCCTACATTGGAACCTCATTCAGTTTCACAAAGGAAGGATACAAAATGGATGGACCTTTCGACATTATGCTAAGTGAAATAACCCAGGGCAGATAACACGATTTTACTCACTTGAAGTACCTAAGAGCCAGGCACAGTGGTTCACACCTTTAATCTCAGCATTCTGGAAGCTAAGATAGGGGGATTCCAAGTCAAAGGCCACCTTGAGTTGTACAGCAAGACCCTACCCCCAAAGTAAGATAACTAAAATAAGTTTAACATGTTTCATATTTTAAACTCATTGGAATAACAGAATGGTGGTTATCAAAAGCTGGGAAACAAGGGATGGTTGTTTAATGGTTGCAGTTTCTCTCGGGACTGTTTAAAGTTCTAGAGATGGCTGATGGTGACAGTGACACAGACATGTGCCTGTACCTGATGCTGTTGAGCTGTCCTTGTACAAGTGGTTATGATGGCAGGTGGTATGTTACCTACATTTTACCATAGCAAAAAGAATTTTCCTGTTCCCTGAGACTCTAATATTAAGAATTAGTCACACCAGTCAGCTGGAGTTCTCAAAATATTGTGATGTTAACATAAAAGAATAAACAAAACAAAACAAACTATTTAGGGCATTTCTTTGAGGCAGTGCTGGGGATTGCAGAACCAGGCCATCAGGGAAAGGGGCAAGAAAGGGAAAAGCACTTTACTGCTGGGCTACCACATCAACACTCCAGTGTCTTATTTAGGCTTGAGTGTCTTCCACATGTGAGATACCTCAAGCAATGATTAGCATGGCTGGGCCTTAGATATTTACAGGGCAAGAGTTCATTTCTGGACCCAGACCAGGCTGCCTCATGGATGGTGGCTGGTCTTAGGCAGGAGCTATGTCTGTAGAGGCCTCTCACTCCAGGCGTTGAGCTGAGTGCCTTGCAGAGTGTGTGGTAATTGTATGCAGAGTGGATGGGCTCCTAGGCCTCTCTGTCCCACTCTTACCTCCACGGGTATTCTCAGCAGGCTTCCATCCACCATGGAATCTGCCATGGGCAAATTACCTGCTCCATGCTAACAGTAGAACATTAGATAACACCTTTTCCTCACTTAAAGAAGCTAATGTCAGCCTGTAAGTAGAGAGCTGACACTGGGTGGATGGCTCCTGGGGGTTGGAAAAAGCCGGGAGTAGATTTTTGACCTGGGACTGCTTGTTCAGCCACCTCCTACGGTTCCTGCTGTCTCTGACTGAAGGCTGAAGGCTGACAGCTCTCCTGACAGTGAGAGTGGGGCTCTTCCAGGTTGCCTGAGCCCTCTAATCCCTTCGTGGACATGTGGGGACAGTTCTCATTTTGAGCAGGAAGCAGAGGGCAGTAGCAAACACATTAACATTGCCTACCTACGCTGAGGCTTTTCAGAGAGTCACGATCAGTTATTTCCAGGGTCCCTGGGTACCGAATCTGCTAGACTCAAGTACACAGTAGATATTGTTTCTCCAGTGAGAGTTAGAGGTAAACAAATAGATGGGATTTCTTCCCAGTAGAAGGCAGCCAGGATGATGAATGGTGGAATTAGGAATCATTGCTATTATTTATGATGCCGGTGCACAGGCACGGCAGCAATCTGTGCAGCCATCCTGCCTTTGCAGCTTATAGTCAGAGAAGAAACAGCAAAAAAGAGCAGGGAGCCGCATAACTTCAGGGAAGGAAAGAACAAACTTTCCTTCAACTTCAAGGCATGAATTAGACCCTGGGTGACCATTTCTTTCCTGGCTTCACCGCCTATGATTAGCCTTCAAGGAACTTACATCCCCTCCACATTCCTTCTCAGAAATGAATCTATGTTTATTGTTTGTTTTTGGAATATTTGTAAACATCACAAGCACATGCCTCTTTAGAAAGAATGGGTTTATCCTGCTCTTAAATTTTTTATTTTTAAGTTTTAGGTTCATGTACAAATGATTTCATATAACCCTGAAGAGTCAGTCTTTGTTTTGTAAATAATCTGCTACACCCAGCTTGTCTTTGAACCCAACAAAATGCCAGCACAGACAGAAGGCCAGATGCACCCCTGCAGCATAGCTGAAATGGGGTGAATTGTATCCCCGGGAACGGCAGTGTTCTGGCCTCCAACAGGAAGCCAGCCTCCCCTGATGTATCTCTGGCTTGCTCTTCATATGCTCACTCTCCTTTCTGACCTTGGCAGGTCCTTGACTTTGATACCCTTGTGGATAACATCTCCGTGGATCCTGTGACGGGCGATCTCTGGGTTGGTTGCCATCCCAATGGGATGAGGATTTTCCACTACGACTCTGAGAACCCTCCTGGTTCAGAGGTTAGTTTGCATGATGAAGTGGACACAGGGTCTTGTTATCCCTACTGATTTTCAATTGAAAACAAAATTCTCACTTGTATGTGCAAATAACAGTGGGCACAGGGACAGACGATCCCAGTTCTCAGAGGTCTAAAGGGCTTGTGGAAGTGTTTGGTGAGAGTCTGGGAAGGGCACAAATATTCTTTTTATTACTTGGTTTTTTATTTTTACAAAGCTGTGAGCCTAGTATAGGGACACCAACAGGAGCTGATACAGTAATACAGGGCTGTGTGCGTGCATGCCTGTGTGTGTGTGTGTGTGTGTGTGTGTGTGTGTGTGTGTGTGATTGCAGGAAATGGCTGCCAAAGCCAGAAGAAAGGAATGAATATTGTGTTGTAAGGATAGCTCAGTGGAAAGCACTTATCTAGCATGTGTGAAGCCCTGGGATTGTCCCCTAGCGCTGGAAAAACTAAAAACAAAACACACAGATGGAATGGTGTGTGAAGGAAGGCGAGCATCCTGCTGTGGGCTTAACCAGGGAGAAGTTATCCAGGGGATCAAAGGCTGGGGTTGGATAGCTACCGCTGGTCCTCAGACCTCCCAAGTATGCAGGAAGTCAAGCTGGAGAGGTCCCTCCACACAGGCCTTGGTCAGCCTAGGGGATGTGAGCCTGAAGAGCTCTATTAAGGACTGGATGGTGCCCACATCCTTATTTCAGCAATAAGTTCCTCCAACTTGGGAATTCACACTAGTTTAAAAATTACAGTGGTGTCACACAGCTGAGCTGTATCCATGTGCTATCCATTTCCCCGTATAAGGTTCCCTTACCTGGCTTGAGTGCCCATCCAGGTTATCAGTACAGCCTCTTTCCATATCTGTGATGGACTGCTTCTGGGACTCCTATGGATATAAACTCCATAGATGCGCAAGTCCCTTACATGAAGTTATGTGGTATTTTAACATAATTTATGTGTATCCATCCTCCTGTATACTTTGGTTTCGTGCATATGTGTGAGATTGTGCATCTGTAGACATGGGAACATGTATGAGGAAGCTAGAAGTCAAGATTGGCTATCTAAGACAGGGTTTCTCACTGAACCTGGAGCTTTCCAATTAGCTAGAAGCAAGCAAGGGATCCTCCTGCCTCCACCCCCCAATACTGATATTATAAACTCAAGCCTCCATGCCCAGCTCTTTATGTGGTGCTAGGGATCTGAATCCAAGTAGTCATGCTTGCACAGCAAGTGCTCTTACCCACAGGGACATCTCAGCCTCTCCTATATTTTTGTTTGTTTATTTGCTTTTCAAAATAGGGTTCATCTGTGTAGCTGTGGCTGTCTGGAAATCACTCTGTAGACCAGGCTGGCCTCGAACTCACAGAGATCGGTCTGCCTCTGCCTTCCTGAGTGCTGAGATTAAAGGTGTGAGTCAACACTGCCCATCTCCTCCTACATATTTAAACCTCTCCAGATCACTTAAAATACTTAATGCTATATAAATAGCCGTACTGACTTGTTTAAGGGAGAGTGACAGAAAAGGAAAGTTTATACTTGATATACCTCTCTCTCTCTTCTCTCTTTCTCTCTCTCTCTCTCTTACACACACACACACACACACACACACACACACACACACACACACACACACATTAAACAACCTCTCCCTACATATTCATATTGAAAGACCCTCTCATCTCCAAATTTACAGGGAATTATGGTCGTGTTTATTGTCACTCTTTTGTGTCCTCCGCTAGTCTTTCACTAGTAGCCTTGCTCAACTGTATTTTAATATAATTGAAGATACATAGTATGTTGCTGAATGTTCAGTATATAAAACTGGGCAGAATGTTCAGTTTTAATTGTTCTTACTTGTTTGCTCATTTGGTGAACTTGGGTCCTTTGCTTTACCAAGGATTTGGTTTGTTTTTCTGGAAAAAATTGCTTCCTTTCTAATAATGAACTTGGGAAGGCACACAGAATAAAATACTTTGAGCGTACTATCTACTGCACTGCCCATAGATCTGGTTCTTATGACTAAGTTCTTATGACTAAGAGGCTTATGAACCTGACGTGGACCCTTAACTATTTTTTGTAAGTAATGGGTTAACATCACAGCAATTTCTTAAAACATGTATCTGTGGAGCTAGCCTAATTAGAAGTCATTTGAACCTCCACATTGATCTTTAATGCCCAGGCTTTGCTAGCTTGTCACAGTGGGTGTTCTGTGATATAGGTTTCTTTTTTTCAAGTCACAGTATTTTATCATTGTCAAAAGAGAATTTAGAAGTAATTTGGTCTCACCCATCTAATTTCAGTAAAGACACAAATGGGGAATGAAAGAGCCAAGACTTGACCCATGTCCCTGCCTCAGGAAGACACCTTCCCTATTACGTTTTATTATATAAAGTTGTTTTATTACCCAAAAGGACCAAACACTAGTTATGCCATATGTGAATTTAACATGAATTGAAATACATGGTCAAATATGATGTAATTAAATTTCTCAGTTAAGTGAAGGAAATTAAACTTAAAAATCTTTTCTATGTAGCAGTAGGACTTTAAACTCAAAGGAGTGGGTAAGTTTGCTACAGACAGGCGGCTTCTTGGGTCATGCTTTCAATTTTCTTTGTCTACATTGTAAAATCAGACATTTTAAGGCATAGTGGTGCATACACACTTGTGATCCTAGCACTCAAGAAAGAGCCTGAGGCAGGAGAGTGCAAGTTCAAAGCCAGCCTCAGATATGTACGAAGACTCTCTCATAGGCAATCAACCAACAGGCCAATCAAGTTATGACTACCCACTCACCCCCAAACAAAGTTTCAGTTCATACTTTATCTTTAAAATATACAGAACAGACATAAATGTCAGTCAGGCAACTATGTACCCATTGCTCACTCCCCCTTCCCATATTTACTGTGTTCCCTACTATGCCTTAATGTCTCAAATGCAAGCTATGTTGTTCATTTATATTCCCTACCTTAGCCATGTGTGTTCATATGCTCACTACTGTTGTTAAACATCATATGACCAATTACATATGAGGAAACAGCTATCTTAAAATAATTTTATGACAGAACACAGTTGATGTAATTATATGAGATAATGTGACTAAGGGAAAACGAACTTCACATTTAAAGTTGATTTATATAACTTAACAACAATATTAACCTCATGTTTTGTTTTGTTTTGTTTTGTTTTGATAGGTGCTTCGAATCCAGAACGTTCTATCAGAAGAGCCCAAAGTAACTGTGGTTTATGCCGAAAACGGCACAGTGTTGCAAGGTACTACAGTTGCTTCTGTGTACAAAGGAAAAGTGCTGATTGGCACTGTGTTCCACAAAGCTCTTTATTGTGATCTGTGACAAGCTGGATGTACCCATGTCATGGAAAATGAGCCCATTATTTCAACCCTTTTCCATGTTGAAGGCGACTATCACCGTGATCTCTGTTGACCCACAAATGTTGACATTAAACTTAGATATAAGAGGGTATGAGAGTGTTCACTGGCGACAGACGTGAATAGCAAGGATTTCTTTAGTCTTGGACTACTTGAAGACTTCATTTACCAATAAAAACTCTCTTTCACCAAAATGGTTAAATTTGTCAAGTCTACAAAATTTGTGTTAGGCTTTGAGTATGAACTGTTCCTACAGGTTTGTATGCTATATGTTTGGTCCTCAGCTAGGGGTGGTATTTTTGGAGGTGTTGGGAACTTTAGGAGAAAGGACCCCACTGATGGACTATGTCACTGGGATGAATGTGTTTACAGATTACACCTGGCCAGCTCTCTGCTCCCTTCTGCTTTCTGTTGGCTGTGAGGTGAGATCCCAGCAGATTCTGGGGCTGAGTTGCTGTCTTATTTCAGGCAAAGAAACAGTGGAGTCAGATGTGGACTGAGCCCTCCAAAACAAGCCAAAATCAGTTTTTTCTTCCTTTTAGTTATACCATGCTGTCTGACATAGCATTGGGAAAAATCAGTGATATCTTGTATGTAACTCTAAACATACTTTCCCTGTAACATACACAATCCCTGAAAGCATGTGAGTTTATTTCTGTTTCACTGTTCTCCTTTAAGAAAACCAGAGAGTACGGTCAGCTCCAGGGACTCTTAGATCACTTAGGGTAGGTGTCATGAAGGTGTCATCATGAAGACAACTGTCAGCACCTCATGGAGCCAATGGATGGAGCCAGGCTCCTGGTTTTCCCCTTCTCTCTGTGACTTCCCCTGGAAATAGGAACTGCAGTTACTCTCTCCTTTTTCACTGGACTTTTCAATTTTCCCAGTGATGACATGTAGGAGACTTTCAAGAACCTTTCTTAGGAAAGGTTCTCACACCGAAATATGATTTCTCTTGTCTTGACACATTATATATTCTGTTTATACTGTCCTGGAGAAGGGAGGAATTTGCTGCTTTTGTCATGACTCAATTGGGGAGTGGTCTGTAACCAATTCCATGCAGGGTGCTGAGTGCCCTCAGGTTTAGCTGGTGCCAGGAATGGGTTTTGTTTTCTTGTTTTTTGTTTTGTTGTCTTTAATTCCTTTAACTTACAGTGGAGACAGAAGGGAAATAAAGGATGATAAACATTTAAAAAACAGAAAGACCAACAACCTTTGGCTGTTTCTGAGATTTAACTAAGAAAAAAAATACTACTTTTCTTATGCTGGTTATGAAACAAGAGATCATGATATATTGCTATTTTTCTCTTTTGAAGACAGATGGTAATGATGGATTATTTCTGTGGGACATTAAGGCAGCCACTTTAGAGATTAAAAATTTCTAAGGTAATAGTCATGGCAATTATCTGGTATTTTAGCTTTTTTGAGGGTGGTGTTGGTTTATTTGTTGGGGGAGTGATGAGAAACTGAAAACTATCATTTAAGACTGCAGATTGGAAATACAAAACAAAAACAGGTTTTGGAACCAAGCATCCTGATGTATGCCTGTAACTCTAGACTTAGGAGGCTGAGGCCATGAGATCATGAATCCCAGGCCAAATTAGGCTATGAAGTAAGATCTCATCTCAAGGAATCCAAAATAATAACAAATTAAACTTATTTTCAATGAATGTGGTAATTAAGAAAGTGAACCAATACACTTCTTTAAAAAAAACGTTTTGACTAGCTAGCTTTCATTGCACCTTCAGTAAAATGACCACATCCTCATTCTTTCTACTGATAAAAGCTGATTCTTAAAAAAAAGAAAGAAAGAAGAGAAAATAAAACTAAAAATGAAGCTATATGAAGATATCCAATTTCCCATGGCATGCATTCAAGATTGGCCAAAGAAGGGCAGACTTTGATGAGGGATTTTTTAACATGCATTCTGTATGCAACATACAGGGGCAAACAGGTTTACATCCCTTATTCTGGGAGACTGAGACAGAATGCAGTAGCTAGTCTTCATTTGTTTTATCCAAGCTCTCTTAGTCTTTGAGCTCTTAGAATGAAAATGGCTTAAAATAACCCAGTGCACTAGGCTGGGCTTGCTTCCTCTCGGCTTGCCTCTTGTTGTGTGAGACTGACTGCTTAATGGATGTGTCATCCACCTTTCTCTGGCTGATGGGTGTTGGAAACTTGACGGTGAGGCAGTGACAGAAGACAGGGGAAAAGGTGGACAAGGGGGCTTCAGCTGGAGGCCCTGCTCTTTAACTTTATGCCCAGTTCCATAATTGAGCTTTCAAGTGTAATTCTAGCTGCCAATTTACGCTTTGCCAGAGTTAAAACTTATTTTTAGATTCATTTCCATGAAAACTGTGCACTTTGCTCTTGATGGACAGTTAATGCAGGTTTGCCCAGGCAGGGCTTGTTTTAGTTGAAGATGAAAATGGAAGAAGAAGAAGAAGAAAAAGAAGAAGAAGAAGAAAAAAGAAACATATACTCTGACATGTCACTGTATTTCCTTTTATTGCATTCATTATCTAACAACAATAATACTCATTGGCAAGGAATTTATTTACACAACAAATTAAGTTTAATCACAGGTATTTTAGATGGACAGAAAACAATGGGCCACTTATGGTATGGTTTGCTTCAAATGCCTCTGAAAACCAAAGAGTAAGGAATGCCATTTGAAAGAGCAGACACTGATCAAGCACCAGAGAACAGATCAGATGGGGCACTATTGCCTCTTCCATGCAAATAATCAGACAGCGAAATGTACAAATTAAAAGTTTCAGGTGATGCGCTACCCAGACTTGCCAGGCTCAAGTGATTTTTCAAATCACTCTCCCTTAGCAATATATAAAGAAATATGGAAACAAATCCAGTCTTACAGTAGAACAGAAGTTTATTTTCCTTCTGGTTTTCAGCTGCCCAGGCTAGCCAGTGATACATAACAGATGAGCAAGTGGCTTCATCAAAACATCATTGAGAAAATACAAAAGCAGTAGTTATGACCTTAAATGATGCTGAGTGTATATCTATGAATGCTTAGAGATTTTATTAATCACTGATTGAACCTGATGTTGCTGGGAGGTGTTATCTAGCTTGAGAACCACTTCTTGCTTTTCTTGTAAAGGCAATTTAAGGTACTTCTGGCCAATTGCTCTTTCATGAATGGATGCCTAAATCCTTAACAAGAAGTGTGTGTGTGTGTGTGTGTGTGTGTGTGTGTGTGTGTACAACAAGTGTGTGTGTGTGTGTGTGTGTGTGTGTGTGTGTGTGTGTGTGTGTGTGTGTGTATAAAATAGTGGGAGAAATGGATGTCCACTCCTCCCAACAACATATGCTCATAACCCATTGTGTTATTTTTGGTGGCGACCAAAATGCCATTGCAAGCTGATGGCATATGAAGTAAAGAGTGGTCACATGACAGAAGCACTGCCACCAGAGAGCCAGTAGTCAGTGACATAAGCATCATGGCTACTGAAGATCTCATTTTAGAGAAGAGAGCTGATACACAAGAACACACAGTGCAATTTTTAGTCAAGAAAACTGCGATGTGCAGTCGAAAATGCCCAAAGCTGCATAATATCTTCTGATTTCTAATTTTAAAAAGTGCAATCTTGACATCAAAGCATTAATCAAACATTTGAGGAAAATTGATCTTGCTAAAATACAATACCAAAGATCTAATAAATCAATTTTACCAAAATATATAAACATTTAGAAGCGTAAGTGCATTTAGTAGGATACTGACATTAAAAAAAAATCTCTTAAAATCTAAGAGCCATTCAATGTATACACAACACAAAAAGTGGCAATAAGGCTATGATTACAGCCCAGGGTCCTAACTAACATCACTGTAGTCCATGTATAGTATATTTTTACGCCACGTGCTTATGGTATATATGTGTGTGTAAGGTTGGGGATATAGTCACACACAGTTCTGACACCTACACAAGTGACATGCACATAACTGAGAATTGGTGGCTTGTTCTCTCATTCCTTATGTCTTGCACATTGCTGGATCCCTAATGGACTAGGGGTGGATAGGGTCAAGATCTGGGGAGCATGGAGCTTCTTCTGCCCCTACTCTGAGGATACAGAACCAGGCCTAGATGCTCACAGACTTAACAATCATTCTCTCCAATCCCTCACAGACACCCTTGCACAGACAGGTGAGGACCCTAGGCCTCCCATGAATGGAACTGCTGTTACTTCACAAGGGCCAGTTTATCACATAGGCTTTTCCTTTTCCCTCTAACTGCTCAATCCAGCTTCTTCAATGCTACCCCTCAAGTTGTTAAAATGTGTTTTCTCTCTTGTTATGTTTTCCCCCAATGTTTTGGATCATGACTAAATTTCATTGGACTTTAAATATTCAAGATAATTGCCAACAAAATCAGCTAGCACTTTCAGTCTGACTTGCAGGACTGAATCAGTCAAACAGATTTCCTGCGATGCTGTTTTCTTCTGAGTCTGTCCCTTCTTTGCCCTATCGCAATTTGGACAACTCTGGAAGAAGGAATGATGTTTTACTCTTGGACCTCATCTCCACAAGAGCACCTTTAGAACTGGACACAGGCAGAGCCCTGACTCAAAGTAAATAAGAAAACACATGACAGCTAATTCTATCATTTCCTAACTATCTTTCCCTTCAGGCAGTGTCTTAGTGTGGAAGCCAGTGACATGACCCCTACTGATGCCCGTCCCCTAAAATGAGATGTTCCATATCACCAGCACTGTGGGAAGAGTCTTTAGTTATTCCAGTGGTGATTCTTAAATATCTCAGTGTATGAAAGGAAAATACGAACCCAGTGTATAGATGTTTTCTTTTAGAATCATTTGTCCTTCCTCCTCCAGAATCATCTTAAACACCCTCGTTAAGAGTTGATGGTCCCACTCAAATGTATCTACCCTTCCATGTCTATAAAAGCATGGTTGTATAAATGAAATTTGTTTACTTCTTGTACAATTTTCAGGCACAAGTTAATCCTATTGGACAAAGATCCTAGATGAGACTTCTCCATCTTTAGCACAATCCACAGAGGCTCAGGCGCTAAATCTGAGCTGTAGACATTCTTGCAGCTTAGGCCTGAGGTGTTTCAGGATCCTACGATAAATACTGTCTAGCATGGAGACTGGCAGTAATCTCCACTTCTCTTCTGCCAATTCATTTCCTAAAAGAAAGGAACACAAGGCAGGAATGGCCATTTTGTGCCTGTTGGAAAGCTGGGTTTGGCATTAGTGCCTATCATACTGCAATCATAAACCACTGTGATACTTTAAAAGTCTATATTTGGTGGGAAGTGAGAAGTTCATGTCAACTCCAGCTAAAGGACTACAGATCATTCTATGATTCTGAGGAGGAAGGAGAAATGATTGCAGAAGTGTGAGTCACTTCAAAGGAGATGGTCTTTAGAGTAGCAATCCATTACAAAGTTCTTTAGTGGAACCCCAACCCAGATTCTACTCCTATAGTGATCTCCACCCATGGCAGGGCTTCACCATGTACCCCCATGCCCAAACATCACCTGTACCCAAAGCACTTGTGGTGACTGATGGAGTACTATTGAAGACTTCCCTGGAATACAGCTACTAGTAAGCAGACATTCCATTTCTGTTCATTTGTTGATAATTTAAAACTTCCAAAGTCATCATCATCCACAAAGCGACAATTCTCTGTTAAATTGTATAAACCCTGAAAACTACAGTATTAAAGCAGGAATTGTGCAAGACATTGGAAACTCAGTTATTACCATGCACCACAGTCAATAAAGGAACTAAGAGGAAAACAGGTTGCTCACAAGGTCTGAGGTCAGTCACTTTGTTTTCACACTGGATCAACCAGTTTATGTTTTATCCATTGCTGAGCAATACAATCAAGAGCCTTTTACAATTTTACCAGTTTTAAGTAGAAATGCTAAAATAATTCATTCTGGTCTAAGATTGTGATAATTTAACTTAAAAATCAAAATGGCCAAAATATAAGCTAAATGATGAAATGAGAATGAATTTGATTTGTAACTGTCAGATAGACGCTGATCCAAGCACTGAAGTGTTAATAAAGTTGCAAGAACACTGTATTTAAGAAATGCAATCTAAGAGATCATAAGTTACAGGCAGAGTCAGACTTATAGACATTTCCAATATATACATTCATTTTCAAATACCATCAAAGTGTAAACACAACTTAAAATGATCATCCTTCTGTTCTCACTCTTATAAATGAACACAAAGAAGCTTCCAGTGCAATCCAGGTTCGTTTTGTCCCCCACCTCCAAGAAAAGAAAAAGGGCTAAAATCTATAATAGCAAGCATTAGTTATTGCCTGATTTTTTGCTAGTCTTCTGGTATCTGTAGTTCAGTAACGTGTCTCTTGGTTTCCCAAAATATTAACAGGTGGCACATCATCAGACATCTGAAGACATGAAGAGTCACCCAGTGTTCTACGCAAGCAAGAACCACGAAGCAGGTCTGGTAACTGCAGTGCATGAAGCTACTTCCATGTCATGTTTAAGACTGAAGTGTGTCTGTTCTGGAAGGAACAAAGTTAACAGAAGTGCTCTGGGCCAGAAAAGGAAGCAGGCCCAGGAAATAAGAACCAGGTTAAGTTTCTAGTTCAGATAATTTCGGGATTCATATAGTTCAAAACTAACAATAAAAACGAAAAGTCACAAAGTCACAAGGGGAGGAGGTGGCCAACCCCTATCCTTGCAGACACCTGTCATACCTCCGCAGCCTGCTGCAGGCTCTTCGGACCTGTGCGTCCAGAGGAGGGATGCACAGGGCTGTGGACAGAAGGGCCTGGTGGAGTAAAGGAAGTAAAATACATCTGGCCTCTAGTTCTACTTTGAATTCATCTGGCCTCTAGTTCTACTTTGAAATTTGTCATGTTAAATAGATGACATCCGTTTATTTTTAGAGTCAATGCAGCAATGGAAGTTAGATACATAGGCAAAAGAAGCGAAACTAAAGGCAAGCAAACAAGTAAAATTCCTCAGTATTTGAAATGTCTCAAGATGAGTTTATTTTCTCCTTCTCCTGCCCCCGTTTCCTGCAGTCAGCTCAGGTAGGTGAAATACTGGAATCCTTAATACTGGCCTTAAGCGTAAGATCTTACACTGATAAAGTCCACCCCATGTCTTAAATACACCTGGAAATCTCTATAATACGGAAGAGAATTGCTTTCAAAATGTCTCTAAAATGTACCTGACAGCTGTTCTTCACAGGAAAGAATTGTGTGTGATCAAAAAAAAAAAAAAAAGTTCTCTGGTTGACTGTTATACTCAAATCTCAATCTCCAACCAGTATTTCTAGTTTTAAGTTCTTAAGAGTACATTTGTTAAAACACTAACAGGGCCCACTTGGGAAATTCTGAGTAGAAAACATGTGACAAGTTCCTGATTGTGTCACAGGAAGGCTGAAGACCAGCCAGCACGTGTCCCAGGAGAGGAAACCTGAAAACTTTGTTTCCTTAAAATCAATTTCCTGTCGGATTCGTTGGGAGGGAGGGGCTGTATTGTGTTTGTCAGTGCTGTTGAAACCCTGGGCTCCACTCGCTGGCAAACCAGACAGCAGATCTCAACACCCATGGTTGCACTACGCTCTGACTTGCTCTTCTTTGTTCAGCAATACATGGAGGAATATGTTGCCCCGCCCCAGCCCCCCAGCCCCTTAGTACATCCAAATCTGTGTTCTTTAGAGTTAACAAATAGCTACTATTTTTCCTCTCTTTCTGATTCCCAGTAAATGGAGCAATGTGCTTGTTCTTTCCCTCATCTGGTAATTATGGGCTGGGCACCCACATTCCCATAACAGGACTGACTTGCTGTACAGTCAGAATTGAGGGGAGCCTTTTCTACACACTGTACTAGAATCTGCAACCCAGGAGATGGTGCAGCTCCCTCATGACAAGGCAGGTATCCTCTGCACATGAACAGCCACAATTACCACCTCAGTTTCAGGGGCTCTCTGTGAAAATTCTAGGTATTCTACCCACAACACAGAGTGAGTCCTGCTCTCATTGGCTGGGTCAGGCTGGTTTTCCAAGTGGCACCATACACTCAACACAGCACTGGATGTCGGTAAGTAGAAGATAAAAATGATATTTCTGGTTTGTTAATAAACCAAAGGTGGCTTGGGGTTATTTTAGGAGGTTAAAATTAAGAGTGCATCCAACACACAGTTCTTTAAACCGCCTACAGTGGCATTATCCCCTTCAGTTTCTTCTTCATCCTCTGCAGGAGAGGGGGGGAGGGGCAGGAAGGGACAGGACTTTCCTCAAGCTTCCCCACTTATTGGAGGAGGCTAGGGATTACTGCTCACTGTTGCTTTCTTTTGTGGAAGTCATCTTCTCTGATTTTTTGGACTTCCTCTGCATTTGCTCTTGTTCCCGTCTCCTCAGTTTTTCTCTTTGTTTTTCCATTTTCTCTTGGGCCTTCCGAGCCTTCTCTAGAGACATCTTCATTTCCTTTAGTTTTTTTTTAACCAGTGCCCGGTCCTGGGATGATGTCATTCCAAGAGCCTACAAATGAAACACATGTACTAACTGAATCTGAAAAGCTGCTGACCTCTTTGCTTATGAGGAGGAAAACATCACACTATGTTTAATCTCATGACCTTAGTTAAACATAGATGGAGGAGGTCAGAGCTGAGGAAAGGCAGACTACACTTGCTAAATTCTGTATGCATGGAGGATCTGTGCTTTGCTCTTTGAAGAATGCACTCCAGAAGTCATTAAGAAAATGCTTTCCAAATTGGTGACTAATGAGCGAATAAATAAAAAGGGTATGACCCTGCTTCTTCAACCTTCCGCTACAGTATTGCTAAACTCATCAATATCTTCAAAGGGTAGCAGAGAGCACCTGCTGTCACAGAAGGCTCCAAGAAGGGCAGGAAGAAGTGAAATGGCCTCTCTTTTGCCAATGTAGTTATTTACAATGAGATCCAAAAATGTCTTTGGGGCAAGGGTACCCATGTCAGCATCTCTCTAGCCATTGTCTCCCCAAAGGCAGACCTATAAAGGAAGCTCAGATTATAATGATGAGGCTGCTGGATGAGTTTAGAATTCAGAATTAGGGGAGCTGGTTGTGTACTTTAAATGTTCCATGACCTTCAGCATCAACAGCAGGGTGCATCCGTCTCCCCAACAGGGACAGCCTTGTCGATGGGGCCTTCATATTCACAAGCTATTGATTGATCTCTAACCTTTTCAAAGACTGTCAAGAGACACTCATCTATCCATCAGCCTCGCAGGGGCCTGAAGCATTGGTGAGACTGGTGAGGGAGAGGTAGGCCTGGCTTCACCCTCCTCTTGCCCTTTCTCCATAGGTTTGGGCGCCACCTCAGTCTCTAAGAGAGATGGGCTGGATGAGTGGAAATGACAGTGCAATGGAGGTGGCAGGGAGGGATGGCTTGCTTATACCTGGGCGAGAAAGTTGGCAATGTCATTTCAGTTTTCAAGTAGTGGGTAGGAGAGGGAGCATGAAGGCGAAACTGAGAAAGAACGATTCACATTGGCCATTATTAAAATTTAACAGTGCAGTGGGAAGTGAGTGGTGTTAATATAGAGGTCACGTGTTGCCAGGGGAAGGAAAGGAAAGCGTCCCCAACTCTCTTGATCAGCAGTCTATCCTGAGTCAGAACCCCTGATGAACTTCCTGAAGCTTCAATTCCCACTGAGAAATAACTCAGGATCTTTTCTGCTGGGAATTGACAAAAATTACCCCATGGATTATGCAGAACACTCTCAGCTGATGAATACATGTCAGATGATACAAGTAAGACATGTAACTGGTAACCTAACACAGACATATAATTCTTTACCTTCAGTTTATTTCCATCCAGCTGCAGGAGCTGCTCCCCAGTGATGCTCTGGGCACTGAATTCAGACACATACTGGTCCAGATTTAGGCTCATCAACCAGTGAGAGACCTGCTGCACACTCCATTCATGTACGGCCCGATTTAGACTCTGGCTGTGTTTGGGAGACTGTCCGTCATCAAGGATCTGAGATAGGAATGTATGCAGTGTTGTTAAATGACTTAAACACCGTGGCTCATATTATGCTACCAAGGGAATTTCTCAAGCTACAAGAGCCATATTTACTTGTAAATCATAAAATGATAATAGTTCTACTTATGCTAAGAACAAACATGTCGATTACCTAGTGATTCTGGTAAGAAGGAAAATTAAAAATAACCCACAAATAAAGTACCATTACAAAGGAAGGAAGTTGAAAATTGAGAAAACACACACTGACACTGATGATTTTATAATACATTACTATGGAGATTTTATCAGAGGTAGAAAATAAATATTTCATAGGTGTCTATATTCAATATATCACTTTAGATTCGAAGACACTAAAGTTGCATTAAAAACACATTCAAAATACTGTCTCCTTCACTTTATGGAAAAAGGTCTTAAAGCGCTCAAGCCTTCTTAGGGAAATTTCACAGCCATTATTTCATCTGAGCAGGAAGCAACCCTGGGAGGAAAGTGGGGCATGGACATCCACAGTTACTTTTAAGACTTTTAAGAGAAACTGAGGGTCAGAAAGTTTACATGATCCCTCTTAGACAATACACTGGTAAGTTGGTAGAGCTTACCAAGAGGCTCATTGCAAATTTCAGGCTCTAGCCACAGTAGGCCTCCCCTTTATTTGTACATGGAGGCAGGAGAGCTCCTAGAAGCACTGAGCTGAGGGAAGATGAAGCCATGATAGGGCTCAGAGGAAAGGCAGGAGTTACCCTGGTGAGCTAATTGAACAGAGAAGAGAGGAGGGTGTTGGCTGAGGGGAAGGCAGAGGATGTGGGAAAGAATGGACCATGTCAGATAATGGCTGTGGGAGATAAATGAGGAACTCTGGAGGAGGACTCAGAGCCTCTTGATCTAGCAACACCTCTTAAGGAAAATGTAAACAAGTGTAATCTTTTCCCTCTCCTACAGAGAAAGTGTTTTTTACTTTTATTTTTATTTTATTTTATTTGAGACTGGGTTTCTCTGTGTAGCTTTGGAGCCTGTTCTGGCACTAGCTCTGCAGACCAGGCTGGCCTTGAACTCACAGAGATCCACCTGCCTCTGACTTCCAAGTGCTGGGATTAAAGGCGTATGCCACCACCGCCTGGCCAGAGAAAGTATTCTTGTAGTGTTGGATTCCTAAGTCATGTAAGGAGCAAAAAGCAGATTCAAATCAGACGAGGCATCACACACAACCCATAGATAGCTCACCTCATCATCTATCATATCCAGGCTCTGGGTGAGTAGCAACAAAAGAACCAAGAAGAAGAGTGTTACAGAAATGGGACACACAACATCCACAGCACACTCTATTACATCAAAATCAAGCCCAGCTAGAAAAACATGACCAGAAAAGTTTAAAAGGAAAAATACAGAGTTTTGTTGAACAAAACTCATATTAGAAAGATATAAGACCATTATTTTATATGTAAGGGCAATCATATTTTAGTTACATTGTTTCTTGCCCCCCACTCCCACCAGTTTTTAGAACTCGTCAATCCCAACATACCCTGCTTCTCTCCTGCACGAATACTTCCTGATAATTCTTAGCAATGCTAAACCTCACTCTAGCAGCATCTGGATAAATGGTTCCTACACTATTTTCTTCCCAGAACTGTGCCTACTGGTTGCAATGGTTCAACTTGGGGTATATCACAGTCAGAAGACTGTCAGGAGCCTGGGAGAAGGGGTGACTCTGGATAAAGAGAGAATGGATAATTAATAGCTTTCAAGTGATCTAGTCTTGTTCTCCAGTGCCTAGCTTCCTTACCATGCATGTTTATATGTATAAAGGGATATCTGGGAAGCTTCAAGGGGCTCAGAAACTATACTTTTCTTTAATGTTGAAGAAGAGGAGGTGGAATCATGAAGAAGACCTTGTGTTAAACATAAAACCTCAGTGCTAATTACTTCTGTGCTAACTCTACCCTCCAATATCTTCCCATAGTGAGATATGGAGGAAATGTGTGACATAAAAACTTATTTCTGCCATTGTGCCACTCAAATACCTCATCTGAGGAGAGTGCCAAGGACTGGGAGAGCCCTGGGGTTTTGGGTTCTGCTCCTAAGCCACTCAGGTCTGCAGAGCTGGTACTACTTGGACTGAAGTCATCATTGAAGGTGAAATTCTGCAAAAAAAACAAATAAGTCATGTTACAGGAACACACAGACTGAACTAGAGGCAGGTGTGTTTCCAAATCCTCCACTGCTTCATTTCAATCAGTTTTCTTTCGAAGAGACTTGACTTTGGTTTGGTGATGACGGCCTTCAACTGGGCGGTGGTACAGGATGGTGCACCTTCTGAGACTGACTGGAAACCCTTGGCATTTTCCCCATCTGATGCATTTTTCAGTTTCTCTCCAAGGGTACATAATTCATTATCCTCTGTAACTGCTCAGAGGAGTGATATTAATAAAGCCCATCTGCTTTGACCCTAATTGTGATGAGCAACAGTGGAAGGAGGAGCACAAGATGCTGTGAGAGGCTGAGTTCTGAGGAACAGATGGCAGCTCCTCTCAGGAAGGTAGCTCAGTGCCCCTGGGAAAGATGGCGTGTGGCTGGCTGTGATAAATACTGTGAGAAGTGACAGGTCCCCTCCTGGATGTGCCCTTCAGAGTGATGAGTTCTGGAGGAGGGCATGGTCTGACAACACAACACTAGTTACATGTTGGAATATAAGCCAAACAGACTGGTGTGGCATAGACCCACGAGTCTGCTAACCTCCAGGGGTTAGGGAGGGACATGTGTGGGGAGGGATGGGTTCCCCAGAACTCCTTTAACATGCTCAGCAGATGTTAAAGCAACTTGACAGTGGCCACAGAGCCTCACTTGTAAAAACATTGCATACTGAACCCCTCTTTAGTGTGAGATAATGCAAGAACCACTCAAGTGAAACCTAAGTCCCAGAACAAGACTAAAAGGCCCAAAGGGTTGATTCTGACTAGAACTTCTTTGCTACTGTTGAAAGGCTGGATTCCCATGAATGCTAAGCAACTGCCCAACGCCATCTGTTTCATACAGCACTTCTCTAGGAACGGGCTGTGATCTCCAACAGGTTCCTTTGTGTTGGGTTAAGTTGACCACTGAGAATAAACACCATGCTAGAGTTCAGAGAGTTTAGTACCAAACCAACTCAAAGATGTGATAATCTTCCAAAAAGGGGTGAGGCTGGTAGAATATTTAAGCCCCAAGGTACTACACACAAAATGTCACCCTTGGTATCACTGGAGATGCAATCCTCCAGGCCTTCAGCCTGCTGCTTTGAGCTGCTGACCTCAAGGAAGGAAGTACATTCAGTAATATTAATCACACATTTCTGTTAAGGAAAGAAGAGTGAACACCAAGAAAAAGGAGATCAAATAACTCCAAGGATAGCCACCATATGTGCTTCAGTAAAATGTTAGATAAGGTTTGCAGTGTCATGCTGGAAATAACCACGAAGCATTTTGAAATGCACCACACCCATGGACATTGCTTCCAATTCTGCTAACGGTAAAGAACTTGGAGGCGGAATTAGAACCGGTGCTCTGCACACTCTACAAAAAGTAGACTTGATACAAAAGGTAAGGAAGGTGCTATGTGCCAGTGGGTTTTTTTTTTTTTTTGTTATTGTTGTTGTTCTGTTTGTTTGCTTCACTTAAATGTACAGAACACAGTCAGTCCCAAATTGACCTGTTTTTCAGTAAATGTTGACGAGCACAGTGAAAGGATTTCATAAGGCAATTTAAAGAATACTTAGTATACTTCTGCAACTCTGTTTTATCATCCAAATGCCTCCTTCCCAGCATGGCTTAGCTGTCAAACCGAGATTAAATAGCAGTAAGTGGAATGACAGGCAAATTGAAGAGAAATGCACACGCTAGAAGGGACCAGTATTAAAGAGGGTGCTGGTTAGGTGAGGCATTTTTCCCCAAAAGGCAACACCATGCATGCCTATGGCAGCGTTAGCGCATTGGCTCCTGAGATCCAGGGTGTACACACAGGTGAGAAGGCCTTCCCAAAATCGAAGAGGAGATAGGATTGGAGGCTTTCTTGTCAGTTTCTTTTAGACCACTGTTGTCTACCTTGGACCCTGTTTTATCTGAAATTAGTGTCTCAGGAGAAGGCTGAAGGGGACTTGGAACTGAAGGTAGGTTCCTGAAGGAATAGGATCCTCTGCGGCTCTCGTTAAACCATGAGAATGGCATGCAAGGAGATCGATTGGAGGCCTGAGCCGCAGGGGAAGGCTTGGCTTTCCAGTTCTCCAATTTGCTTCTGAAGATCCTGTGGTGTGGAAAGAATGGGCATGTTAGACAAAGAAATGGCAAAAGACATACTGAACCCAATTCCAAAGAGACACTTGCATAGGTAAAATTCTGAGAAACTGTTCTATTTAGGATAGTAAAAATGGAACACCTTAGGCTATAGCATTAACTTTAATAGTTACCTTTTTTACATTTAAATGGAATCTACGATAATACATTGTTTTGAACTGCTATTTCCATGGCAAAATTGTACAAAATGTGCCTTTGTAAGTATGCATGGATGAATTAAAATCAGAGTGGCCCAGCCTTTGAGATAATGCTCTTAGGACAGCCTTCAAACAAGTGGCACCAGCTCACAGCCAGCATTCTTTTCCCTCCCTCTGGATTTATGCTCCCATCATCCACGGCTCAAAGACTGAGTGGTTGGGAAATTTCAGAGCATGTGGTATGTGAAGCAGAACATGCAGCTTCCTGGTTTCTCATCATAAGCTCAAGTGTCATTTCACAGGAGGAGTATAGGGCCTGACCTCTTCATGGGCCACTTCAAAGCCGAGGGCCTGCCACCTTCTGAGTGTGTAGCCTCAGGCCTTCTCTGTCCCCCACCCCAACCCCGTCCCAATCTGTACAAAGTGAATATGCTGATTATCTTATGTGTGACTGCTATGAATTAAACAGATTAACACTTATTAAGAGACACGAAAGGCATTAAAGTATAAATGTAAAAGTCTAGAAATATTTAAAGAGTCAAGGGCAGTTGAGAAAAACAGTTTTTCTTTTTTTTTTTTAAACTTAATGTAGGTACTTTCATATTTGTATTTGTCTACTGGTCAAGTGGAAATACTTGTTCAGGAGCGGAAGAAGAAAATGCTTGTGTCCATTTGGAAGCAGTGAATGTTAGTATCATTGGACAAATGAACTGGATGGCAGCCAGTTCTTCATAGCTGTTGATATTATGACAACAGCTCGAGACCCCTTCAGTTGAAAATGCCTGGGTACCATAGACTCAGATACTTTCTAACCCTCATTTATGTTGAATCCTGGTCTCCTTACACCTTATTCTAAGCACACTCTGGATTATAATTCAAATTGATAGAAACAGAACCAAGTCTTAAATCTTCTGGCTTGTTTCCAAACACAATACAAGAACCATATGCAGCAATCCTCATGCAAGTATCCTGGAGACTGTAGGCGATATACAGATGCAAAAGGTTGTCAGAACAGCTAATGAGGACAGAAACCTTTGTGAAACTGAAATAGCAGGATGGGCAAATAAAATTCATGGTCACATCCAAGAATCCAGAAGATGTAATCATGTTACAGTGTCTTTAAAAAGTGTGTTGGGGTAGTGGGGTATCTTCAATGATAACAGCAATCAAGGGGAGATTGGTCTACCTTGAATTTCATTTTAACGCTTTAACAAAATGGGAAATTTTGTACTCTTAATATAGCTACTCATTATCACAAGACAGATGAGTGCAATAATTGAGCCAAAGCACACTTGCAGGGGCTGTGTGCTCCGGATGGGGCAATTATTCTTTGCCCATGGACCAAATAAAGCTGGTACAGATGTTACATTCACAACTCAGAAATAGGAGGAGAGAAGGGAAGTTGACCTGGAATCCGTATTTTAACACTGCTCTGAGCTGACTTTTTTTTTTTTTTTTTGGATTTTTTTTTAACACTCCCCAGGCAGGGTAGGGCCCTCAACGGGGGCTCCCCAAAGTCCACAACATCATCCTGGGCCGGGCCTAGGCCATTCCCCATATGTCCAGGCCAAGAGTGCATCCCTTCAGGTGGGATGGGCTCTCAAAGTCCCTTCTTACACCAGGGAAAAATACTAATCCACTACCAGGGGTCCCTAGAGTGCAGAGGCCTCCTCATTGACATCCATGTTCAGGGTTCTGGATCAGTCCTGTGCTGGCCTCCCAGACAGCAGTCTGGGGTCCATATGCTTCCCCTTGTTCAGGCCAGCTGTTTCTGTGGGTTTCACCAGCCTGGTACCACCCCTTTGATCTTCATTCCTCCCTCTCTGCAACTAAGTTCCAGAGTTCAGATTAGTGTATATCTGTGGATGTTTGCCTCTGCTTCCACCAGCCACTGGATGAGGGCTCTAGGATTGCATAAAAAGTAGTCATCAATCTTTTGATTGGAAGGGCAGTTAGGTTATCCTCTCCACCATTGCCTAGATTGTCAGTTCATGTCATCCTTGTAGATCTCTGGAAATCTCCCTAGTGCCAGATCTCTCCTTGGACCTATAATGGCGCCCTCTAAATGGTATCTCTCATCTTGCTCTCCTCTATTCTTCCCCCAACTCAATATTTCTGCTCCTCTATTTCCTCCTCTCCTCTCCTCTTCTCCTCCTCTCATTCTGGCAGGTCATAAATAGCTCCATCTTCTATTATTATGATTATCCTGACTGTAAATACAATGCAAATCACCACAGAACAGAGCACAGCAGTGAAGCTGTGTGAAAAATCACTTCCTGGATCTATACACTTCACTTTCCTCCCACAGGTTCTGGCACTTTGAGTCCCTGAAGTTATCATCCCCTCAGTCTACACTGAGGTGAAGGGTTCTGGAAACATCAGTCTAGATGGCAATAAAGCAAACGGACAGCTGTCCTGTCACCCCTCTGGGAGAGGGGGAAAAATCTAATCTCCATAAGGCAAACAATCCAAGCCAGAATGTAAAGAAATACTAATAAATACTTCAAGGAGGGAGATAAGATTAGAGACTCCAGTTTTAGTGCAGGGATTGACTCTCGAGTTTCATCATTCAGTTTGGTCCCCTCCCCTACTAAAATGTGACCTTGTGCTGTCTGGAGACAAGCTCTTTGGGGCTCTCATCATCTAACCACTTAACTTCTAGGGCTTGTCTTTAACTAAGTCCCTACACTCAGGTAAAAATGCTCATAATGGTCTGTTGAGAAACACAGACACATCTCTACACTCCCACACCCTAGAGACCAGGCATGTCTAAGGAATAGATGGTCCTGAAGGCCGTACTCCCTTCTGCCTGCACAATGCTGAGTCAAGGGACCTGAGTTTGGTGGTACTTAACTTGATTGCCACTGTCTGGGAGTTTACAAGGGAGTGATGCAACTAAGCAACTCATAAGCGAGTAACCTCATCTTCCTCCCAAATCAACTGTCTTAGTAACAATGGTTCTAGACCACCACGACTGTGAGGAGACTACAGGGCAGCGAGTCAGAATGAAAAAGACTTCAGGGCAAATGGAGGGCAAACAACAGTTGACAAAAATCTGAGGATCCCAGGAAAATATTAACGACTAATAGTGAGTATGAACAGGTAATGCAACATTGAGAATGGGCTCCAGGCCATGCTGTTCTTACAGCAGGGAACAAGGTCATGGAACCCCAGCCTCTGTCAGAGGCTCTCTTTCTGCAGTCTTATATACAATGATAATGGAGAGTTGGGGAAAGAGCTGGCAGGAAGCAATGAGAGCCCACTTCCAGGGTAACACCATTGTCCCATGGCTGCAAACTGGTGGACTCTGGAGTTTCATTTTTCTAGCTATTCATGAGTATGGCCATGCCCTGCTGTGTCTGCCTTCTAGCGCCACTATTTATTATCTGTAACTTAAAAAAAAATCCATGACTGTGTAACCAACCCCTGTGTGCAAACCTTTATTCTCAAACAAAAGAACTCGCTTCCATTTTCTTGGATCTAGAGTACTAGAATATTTATTAAGACACCTAATACTCTATTACTTTAGAATTATAGATGCAACTGCCTAACAGGCATGTTTACTACAGCAAACACCAATTTTGTCCGGGATAAATTGAACTTGAGCCTATGAAGGAGCAGGAAGGGTTGGCAGCAGGACTTGTGTTTGGACTGCCTTCCTTCCTTTCTTCTCCTTTTCTTTCTTCTTTCCTCCTTTCGTCCTCTCTCCTCTAAATCAGGGTAGGTAGAATGGATTTTTAGTGGATCTGAATATGACTTCCAGAGAGTCAAAGGAGGTATGTGCTGGGCTTCCTTTACCTGTGGTGGCCCATTCGCCAAAGGCTTATCATTAAGAAAAAAAAAAAATCAAAGAATCCCCAGTCCCTGCCATAGTAAGCCCTTATGTGCTTTATCGTTAAAAGAAACAACTGTCATCAAATTTAATTTTCATAAGCCAACGATGTCACTGTATTAACCTTTCCTGGTAGTCAAATGGTTTATGACTAATAAGTTTCTTGTGCAATTAACTCACTTACATATACTCTGGGACCCATTTATCCTGGCACCCTAAAAGGCAACCTTTTCAGTTAAATACCCTACAGTGATATTTGTTGTTTTAATTCAGAACTAAGTAAGATACCATGAAAACGTCATTACAGTTCACAAACTGCCAGGCAGAAAGAGCAGTAAGAACCACAGAACTATGCAGATTGTAATAGTTGTAAGAGGAGGGTGTGTGCAGCCTCCCACTTATCTAAGTCAGCTGAAGTAATTTTGAAAGAATCTGAGACCAGTGAAGAGACTGAGGTTGTGGGCCAGACCCATCCACAGGGAACTTAGAGAGCCTGGTTAGAGGCATTAGAAACATGTCCATCTGGCGTTCAGGCTCAGTCACCCTGGACATCTGCTCCCAGTCCAGAGCTTTGGCCGGAATTTCTGATCAGCAGCCAAGAGTCCATCTTAGAGTCACAGTAGACAGCTCAGTCCTAACTCCCAGGAGAAGATCAAACTATTCCCTTTCCTCTGTAGGCTTTAAGCTGAAACTGCAAAAGGATCACGTGGATCCATGCTCTCAAAACAGATGTTAATTTCAGGACAACAAATCTACTGCTTAGGTATTCAATAAAAGTGTGCTATCCCCAATCTAAGCAAAATGTGCCTTTTATTCAAATTTCTATTTTCATTAATCTTGGTGATTGGGTTTAAACCCAGAGCCTTAGGCATGCTAATAACGCACTCTGTACCTGAGACACACCCCTGAAAATTTAAATTTGCTTTAATCATCTAAACCTCGTTATTTTCCCTCCCTTCATTCCAGTGATGTATGTACAAG